ATCTTACCATGCTGTATTTCATAATGTCCTTAGCCTACAAAAGCACGTTGTATACAAAAGCCTAGGGCCATTGTGTAAAGGAAAAGAAGTAGGGTGGACCCTTCTCAACCCTTTCCTTCTCTGCAGGGCTTTGCATTCCTAAGGATGGGCCCCTCCTCTGCTTGGGGATGTTACCTAAATTATAAAATGATATTACTCAAAGCAATGGAACTTCAAAAGCATTTCCTTCCCAGGCCCTACTATAAGATTTCTTTTGGCATAAACTGTTCATTGTAATGTATTAAGTATCAGACTTCTGATGACTTGTCATACTTAAGTCACAAAACTACAAAAAACTTTTAAGTTTTTAAAATGGCTTTGTTTTAAGAGCTGCATGCGGGAGGACAGGCATCAGCAACCCCCTACCCCTTCCCTCCCTTTTCCCCAGTCAGGCCTGCCCTGTCAACTTTAAAATGCAGTTATTTGGGTGATACCTTGTTACTAACTTATCTGACAACTGCTAGTTGAAATCAACTTGTCTCTGTAAATACTTTGCTTTTCTTTTTTTTTTTTTTCTTTTCAGATGGAGTCTCGCTCTGTTGCCCAGGTTGGAGTACAGTGGCGTGACCTCGGCTCACTGCAACCTACGCCTCTCCAGAGCTCAAGCGATTCTCGTGCCTCAGTCTCCTGAGTAGCTGGGACTACAGGTGCCCGCCACCATGCCCGACTAATTTTTGTATTTTCAGTAGAGACGGGGTTTCATCATGTTGGCCAGGCTGGTCTCGAACTCCTGATCTCAGGCGATCCACCTGTGCTGAGATTACAGGCAGGAGCCACCATGCCCAGCCGAACGCTTTGCTTTTCTAGTGATAATTATATCATGTTTCTCTCTTGTAGCACTTCTGGTGGGAAAAGTGCAAAAATGAATTAACAGTAGAGATGAGTCTCTGATTCCTAAGTCCTTCTCTACCAAGACTTCCAAGTTGGAAACAAGAGGTAGAGAAAGACTTAGGAATCAAAGACTCTTATGAGTATGATATCTACTTTCAAAACAGTCATTTCATTTTATTCACATTCAGTATGGAAACTTTAGTTTTCTCAATTCAAAATTGAGACTATAATCCAAAGGAAAGCTGAATTGAAAATTTTAACAGATTAATACCAGTACCCCAAGTAGTGTTTACCATGCCTTCAGAACAACCCCATGTTCTAGGGGCCATTAAAAAATGAAATGGCTATTGACATGGAATGGAGCTGGGGAAATTTAACTTTTTACTTCATACATTCTTGAGCCATCTGAACTTTTTTACATCAATCATGCCATTTAGAACAAAAAAAATTCCACTTCCTACCAAGCTAAGTACAAACTTGTCACCTTGACCTTCAAGGTATTTGACAAATATGGTCCTGGATTCCTTTTCAATTTTAATCCATTACTTTCTTTTGGGAACTGTTGCCTTATACTCCTAGCAAACTATCCCAAAGAACTCTCTTATCCAATTTAACTGACACCACACCACTAGGCTATTCTCCAATGTGATGGGAACAACACTTCTGGTTCCCCCTCTGTGAAGTGTGCTTATCAATGGTGACAATGTGTTTATTCAGAAACCAATTTATGCCAGTTGTGCTTATTATTGAAAATATGTAAATACTATGTAAAGCAATGAAGTATAAATGAGAAGAGAAAAATGACAGCGGCAATTAACACTGAGTACCTACTACTTGCCAGACACTGTTCTAAATGCTTTACATGAATTAACTCCTATAATCTTCACAAGAAACCTAGAAATGGATACTACCATTATGCCTATTTTACAAAGGCAGAAACTGAGTAACTTGCCTATGGCCTATATAACTAGTAAGTGGCAAAGCAATTTGGCTCCAGAGCTCAAGTACTTAACTACTACAAGACATAGCCTCTCTAGTAGTTATTTCTATAAAATCCACATTGAATGCTTTGGAAAGACTAGATAAAAGTGAGCATACAAGGCCAGGTGTGGTGGCTCACGCCTGTAATCCCAGCACTTTGGGAGGCCAAGGTGGGTGGATCACCTGAGATTGGGAGTTCCAGACCAGCCTGACCAACATGGAGAAACCCCATCTCTACTAAAAATACAAAATTAGCTGGGCATGGTGGCACATGCCTGTAATCCCAGCTACTCAGGAGGCTGAGGCAGAAGAATCGCTTGAACCCGGGAGGTGGAGGTTGTGGTGAGCCGAGATCGTGCCATTGCACTCCAGCCTGGGCAACAAGAGCAAAACTCGTCCCCTCCCCACTCCCAAAAAGTGAGCATACAGATAACACATAAACTTGCTGTTAGGTGTGGGAGACAACAGAAAAGGCTGGAAGGGCATTTCATAAACACCTAGAAAGATTCTGCAGTGAGACTGCTTTGCAAGTGACTTTAAGTATTCATTCTATGTTAAAAATACCATAGATAAGGTAGGCCAGGGGCTAGCAAGCTCTTTCTGTAAAGGGTCAAAAGTAAACATTTTAGGTGTTGAAGGCCATGTGGTTTCTGTCTCAACCACTAATACTCAATTCTGCCTTGTAGGCTGAGAGTAGTCATAGACAATACATAAACAAATGAGCAAGGCTGTGTTCTAACAAAGCTTTACTTATAAAAACAGGCAACAGGGTCCTACATTCCAAGAAAAGGCTGAGGCCTTATGTTAAAAGAATGGCAAAAGAATGTTTATGTCTTCGTTAAAATGTTACGTATGTAACTATTATCTGTGTGATTCCCTGCTTTAACGTACTTCTTCAGTTAGCCAACTAATGGCCCTAAAAGTCTGCTTTCAGTAACTGAGTGAATGTTATAGATGCCCTAGAACCTGCATTTAATTCATATTCCTGTCATTATACCTGATATAACTTGGTTATAACTTTAAACTACTAATTTTAAAATGCATGCATCAGTACAGATTAGTATGGGCATACTCATATATAAAGACTGTCATCTCTGTTGCAAAATTGCTGATAATTTGAAAAGAATTATTAAAATCGCTGCTTCCCTGAGGGAGGAAGGAGGGTGGAGGAAAAAAATTGCTGCTTCCTGGCCAATCTTCAGGGGGTTGACAATACATTTCATGAATATTCTAAAAGTTGTATACTTAAGCAAAACAAATAAACAAAAATGCTTACTTTAAACTTGAGATCAAGGTTGTGCCTTACTTGCTTTTGTATTCCCAAGAATTACTCAGTAGAAGTCCAGGTCTAATCCACTTGTTTTACGGTGTTTAGGGAGCCTGGACCAAACTCAGAGTTGAGTTAGAAGGGCTGGGACAGGAATTCAGATTTCCTGATTCCTAGTCCAATATTACCAATCTGAAGATACACGAATTTAGGAAGACAGTGGCTTTCTTTTCTTTTTTTTTTAGGTGCACCCAGTCCTGCAGTTCAAAGCCTGGGAAGATTCACCATCATCTTCCTCCTCCTCATACTGCTAATAAGAATCAGCAGTTGTGTTTCTACAGTGATAATCTGGGTATGCACGTTCGTGATGTTCCAATCAACAAAAAGGCTACTGATTTTAGGATTCCTGAGTACCTAAAAAGCTACTTAAACATCCAGGATAAAAACACCTCCACCCAAGAATACAAGATCAGAGTTCAAATATTCCCTTGGCCATTTTTTTTTTAAAAGAAAAGGCTGGAAGGACATTTCATAAACAACTAGAAAGATTCTGCAGTGAGACTGCTTTGCAAGTGACTTTAAGTATTCACTCTATGTTAAAAATAGCATAGATAATGTAGGCCAGGGGCTAGCAAGCTCTTTCTGTTAAACATTTAGATGTTTCAGGGCTGCAATCACAGTGACCAGTATTGGGGAGAGTGATTAAAAAGTGCCATGGTACTTAATCCAGTTATTCCCCCAACACCTCCAAGATATAGCCAAGTTCACACACTAAACAGAGCTACTGCAACAGTTCTAATGCTAGTCCTTAGATTCTAGTTCCAGTTCCGGTTCTAGTGCTTAGATTCCAGTTGCATCATTCCAACTGTGAGGCTTCGCTGCTTTAACATCTTTGCCAGGAGGTGCAAAGTTCTCTGGGAGGGAGAACTTCGCTTCAATTTCATACTGACAGATTGAAACATTCAGGTAAGGGACACCTGTAGTACCAACCTGACTGTGAGGGGAAGCCCAAGAACTCCAGTGAGTCTGTGGACGCTACACTGGGACACTACCTCCTGAGCCACACCTTACCTAAGCCAGGACTACCCCAGGATTGTTTCGAGAATGAAACCAGGTTAACCAAAAAAATACTTAGGTAAGATACAGATAGGGTGGAAACTGGAGTCAGAGGAGTCCGTCACAATTGATGTTGATTTAGGACTGTCGCAGGAAGACCCAGGGAAACCCACGCCAAGGTTGGGCTGGGGATGTGTCTGCCTCCAAAGTATCCTCCTTTCCATCACCCACCGCCAGAATATCCTAGTTCTTCTGCACCTCACCTGCGTAGAATACAGGTGGACTCCAGAAAGGGGATTTTCCTCGAGGTGTATGCTACAGTCTTTCAATAGCCATTCTGTAAGGGCACACAGTGCTTACGGGCTGGTAAGGTTCTTGTTCACGCACTAGCTCACTATGTCCTGAATCAAAGGACCAGGAATCCAGTCTCAGTCTGCCCTTTACTCTTTGTGACCTCGGACTAGTCACCCGGGTGCTTAGTTCCTTCGTCTCCCTATCTGTAAATTCTGAGATTACGAGGAGGCCGGGATCGAAATCGATGACCTCTGAGCTCTAAATTCTTCTGCACCAGCCGGCACATGGAAACACTGGACAAATGGCCGGTTGCACACACGGGGAAACTGAGGCACCGAGCACCCCGGCCCAAGGTCACTCTGGCTATGCCACTGCAGGGACCGGGCCGAAGCCCAAGTCTTTAACCCTCCAGTCCCGCGCTCTTTCTCCTTCCGCGAAGCTGAGGAGAGCGGCCAGAAGGGTCCTTGTCCCGCTGGGGAAAGGACGGTACCCATGCACAGGGGTGCTAGAGAGGGGCCGGGAGAAGCCTTACCTTCCCAGGTCGAGTCCAGCCACTGGCGCCTCTCTCTCCCAATCTTAACCCGTCACCCCCTCACGACTCCTCGAACGGTCCGTCCACTTCTACCCGGCTCGACGTGTCCACGACCGCCACCGAGGCCGAGGATTTCCCGCCCCCTCCCGCCCCCTAGCATTACCGACCAATCCCTGCACGAGACTGTGAAGCTCCGACCCCCCCTGCGGGCTGGAGAGGCCTGACGTCACGCGGCGCGCGTGCCCACGCGAGCCTCTCATTTGCCTTTGCCCCACCTTCTCCAGAGCCTAGACTACTTTCGGCCCAGAGACCGTGAGGGAGTTCACCCTGCCGGAAAGCAGCACGCCGCCGCGGCATTTTACGACGTCGGCGGTGACAAGCCCTGGGACTCTGGAAATAGCCAGCTTCCTCCCCGCAGCCTGGTGAAAGCCAACGCAATGTTCGGTGCGGGGGACGAGGACGACACTGATTTCCTATCGCCCAGCGGCGGGTGAGTGACTGAGAAGTATGCGCTGGAGGGCGTGGCTGAGAGATACCGGCGGATTGTTGGAGGGGAGGGTCGATCTCTTCTCAGGCCTTTTCCCAACTTCCGGGGGGAGACTCTTGACACATTCCGGTGCTCTACACCTCTCAGAATCTGGGCAGAGCTTCCAACTGTGCTGACTCTGCCAATCTGAGGTTCGGGACCCGGCATCTCTCTTGGCGCGAAGATAACCCTGGGGTTTGCCTTTTGCATTCTGGGTCACAATTTCTCCTGTGAAATGGGAATGATTGCTGATGAAACTTCCTGCCTCAGAATTTTTGTAGGAGTCAGCTGGGGCTGATAAGAGACTTTCCCTTCTCCGTGGAGAAGGCGATGACACTTTAGAACCGGGCCCTGGTGGGTCAGCTCTAGCATTCTTCAAGGCCCAGCTCGGATGTCATGTTTTGGATGCTTTTCCTTCTCCTGCAGCCTCAGGCAGAATGAATTGCATTCTCTTCCTTATTCCTACAGTTAGATGTATTTGCCTCTATTCTTGTACCCCGAACCTATTAGATTATGAGTCCTCACAGGACAGGGACTGCTTATGTTGTTCATTTCTGTCTAGCACTCAGCATGGTACATAGCATGTAGTGAGTGCTCAGGAAATGGCTGTTGAATGAATAATAGCTGCGAAACTGCACTTTGTAAAGTTTAAAGCTTAAAACCAACGTAACAGACTTCCGTCATTCTCCAGTTTCTTCAAGCGTTATATTAATATATACCAGCCTGGGATAGAAGTCTTTAAAGAGAGGCAGGGTTTTGTCTCTTTCAGTGGTCAGTTTAGCCTTTTCCATTGTGTTGTGCCAGTGGACAGCTTGACTTCCTCCAAACTTGTGAGCTACCAAGCTCTGATCATTGCAGAGCTCATCTTTGAACATATGCTTAACAAATTTTGTGCATGCTGAAGAATGTACTGGAAAAATGACAAATACACCACATATGCTCCTTAATCTGCTAAATACTAAGAGGTTACAAAAATGATTAAACTGCTGTGCCTCCCCTTAAGTTGCTTAAAGATCTAATGGGCCATGTGGTTTCTGTTGCAACCACGAATACTCAGTTCTGCCTTGTAGGGTGAGAGTAGTCATAGACAATACATAAACAAATGAGTTAATAGATGAATGACCATAAAATGACACTGGCCTTCTTTTGTCTTTAAATAGGAACTTTTGATTTACACTGACTAGCTCTATATTACCTATCCTTAAGTCTTTTCACTCTCATCACTCTTTTCCCTTCGTACCCCCCTCTTTAGATGGCCTCATTCACTTAGTTCCACTTTGAGTTCTTTCCGTTTCTCAGTTATTTTAGAGTTAAGCTGTGCTTTGGTTCTTTTTTTCCCTGTTCCACCCAAAACATTAACAAATCTCCATACAGTCCAAACTCCTTGCTGCTGTTGACTCTGTTTGTAGCCAGCCTTTTGAATTAATGTTCCTTCCAACAAACCTGTTTTGTGTATAGCCGTATATTAGACCACTTGAAAATTTCAAAGGTTATACTTTAAATTCACATCCTTCACTATGTGAAAGTATTTGGGAGAAGTCTGTAATGTTAGGGCTCCCAACTTTCTTGCAACAATCAGTCCAAGCTGACTGAAAATGATGGGATAAGTAATGACAGTCATGTGTTCTTTTCCAGATTCCTGGCCAGAGATAAATTCTTGGTGGCTCAACTATTCTTTTTTCCTGAGCAGGCTTCTCAAAGATCTGGGACACTTGAATTCTAGGCATGTGACTGTACTCCTAGACATAGACAACAGCTAATTTGATGATAAAAGACATGCTAAGCAAAGTTGCAGCTTATTTTTGTTCCCCACGGTTATCAGGAAAACCAAATCAAATTTAACACTGAGAATACAGAAAGTTTCACCAACATTCTCTGATTTGGCTATTCCTTTTTTGGTTTTCTCTAAGGAAGTAGAACATATGACAGTGAATACTGCAACTGCTTTTCACTTCCTCTTTTGTAGCCATATATTACTATAAGTATACTTGCTTAAGTTCCAAGTCTCTTGATTTAAACACCTGACTTGCTTGATTCCATTAAGGATATTCAAGCCTAATAGAAGTGGAAGTATCTGATAATCTGCCTTCTGAATTTCTAGGCCTCTTAGAGTTTACTGTTAATGTAGAAGTAGTAATCAAGAGGCTTGCTTTTGTTTGTTAGTTTGTTTTAGCCCATTCCTCACTGTTGTGGGAAGTAATAGTAATGAAGTAATAGTACTTGGCTTCAGCTAATCCAGATAGGAATAAGGCACAGTTTCTGTCCCTAAGAAACTTTTATTTTAGTAGTAGAATAAAATCAACCCAGGAATAATAATCACAAAGCATTTTTAAGGGGCTAGTTATGTATATATTTGTTTTAGATTATAAAGGTATGTGTAGGCAGATCTGATTAGCATAGTAATGGTAAATCACCAATCTAAAGAGGGTAAAAAGATAAATTAGCTGATCATCAGAAAGCATTTTAAGTTCTGTAAAAGATAGGAAAAAGCCTAGATTCTAATGTTGATTCTATCCCCAGTTAGGAATGTAACTTTGGACAGATTATCTTCCATCCTTGTCTCTCCATACCCCAACCTATTCAATAATGAGGTTTGACCTAGATAAACTTGGAGACCTTTCCCAATTCTATAGTTTTAATGTTAATGCTAATACCAGTTTATGGTTGCAGGTCAACTTGTATGTCAATCAAGCATGCTTCCACCCTTGCAGGGGTATCTGAGTTGAACCACATTTTGAGATAATAGGATGTGTTCACAAGTATATAAACACATACTCTGTGCTTACTCAATGCCACACACTGTTCTAAGGAATACATAGACATTATTGTATTTATTCCTTCCTTCTACTCCATGAAGTAATTTTACCTACTATGCCCAGTTTACAAGTGAGAAATGTATATATACATTAGTGTATTTACTCTTCTCTAGAGATGAGGTACTATTAACTATTATATCCATTTTACAAATGAGAAAGGCTCAGAGAGGTAAGTTGCCCAACATCATGCAGCTAGAAAGTAATAGAGCCTGGATATGAAATCAGGTAGGCAGATTCTACGAGACCTGCCTATGTGCTATTGTTGTTATTATTGAAATAGATATTTGACGTCAGTTTATTTAAAAAGTATTAATACTTTACCAACAAAAAGTCCATTTATTAAAATATATTGATACAATGTAAATGCATGCGTTTTTGTTTTTGATGAGAAAGAAAAGTAATATAAAACTGAGGTGAGGTGAGGTCCTTGGCGACTAAATGCATTGTCTAACATTTTTTTTTAAATGTAGTTAATGTTGTAATGACTTTTCCTATGAATTATAAACATTGACTCAAGTCCAGAGTTAGCAAACTCATTCTTGCCAACATAGGGAGAGTGTGTATATTTGAGAGTTCTTTAGTAGTGGCAAAATCTAAAAATTTATTCATTTTTGTTGATTTATTTATTTTTTGAGACAGGGTTTTGCTCTGATGCCTAGGCTGGAGTGCAGTGGTACAGTCATGGCTCACTGCAGCTTCGAACTCCTGGGCTCAAGCAATCCACTTGCTTCAGTCTCCCAAGTAGCTGGGACTACAGGCGCATGCCACCACGCCTGGCTAATTTTTAATTTTTTGTAAATATAGGGTCTTGCTATGTTGCTCAGGCTGGTCTTGAACTCCTGGCCTCAAGCAGTCCTCCTGTCTCAGCCTCTGAGAGTGAACCACCGTGCCCTACTAAAAATTTACAAGTAACTTATCTCCCAAGTTGATGTAGAGTCCATTAAAAATATTAATAGAAAATGGGGCTGAGCGTGGTGGTTCAAACTTGTAATCCCAGCACTTTGGGAGGACAAGGTGGGCGGATCATGAGGTCAGGAGATTGAGACCAGCCTGGCCAACACAGTGAAACCCCGTCTCTACAAAAATACAAAAATTTACTGGGTGTGGTGACGGGTGCCTGTAATCCCAGCTACTCAGGGGGCTGAGGCAGGAGAATCACTTGAATCTGGGAGGCGGAGGTTGCAGTGAGCCGAGGTCGTGCCAGTGCACTCAGCCTGGGCGACAAAGCTACTCTCCGTCTCATTTAAAAAAAAAAAAAAAAAAAAAAAGGTTGGGCGTGGTGGCTTGCGCCTGTAATCCCAGCACTTTGGGAGGCTGAGGCGGGCGGATCACCTGAGGTCAGGAGTTCAAGACCAGCCTGGCCAACATGGTGAAACCCCGTATCTACTAAAAATACAAAAATTAAACAGGCATGGTGGCGGGTGCCCGTAATCTCGGTGATCAGGAGACTGAGGCACGAGAATCGCTTGAATCCTGGAGGTGGAGGTTGCAGTAAGCTGAGATCCTGCCATTGCACTCTAGCCTGGACGCCAAGAGCAAAATTCCATCTGAAAAAAAAAGAAAGAAGAAGAAAAGAAATTGGAATTAATCTGAAAACTAATTCGGTTGACCTGGCTTTTGGATTGACTTTGTAGTCTTCAGTTGGCTGGTCTTTAGAACATCTATGGAAACACAGTTCACTTATGACATTCTTCTTTCCTTTTAGAAAGGCTATACCTGCAAAATTAAAACAGCAAGCCCAATACCAATGGCTTACTGAAGCTAACAAGGACATTCTTTTCTTATATGTTATCTTAACTAGGTGCTAAGCTTTGTACTTTTTTCACTGTGTTAAAGACAGTGAAACCCAGCTCTTCCAGAATCTTATTCCTTTAGGCAATTTGCCCAAATTTTCCCGCCTGAAAGGAAAAATCTTGCTGTCTTCTAAATTCCATAAGCATTCCTTGATGTCTTTTTAGGCCAGTGCTGCTCTCACACAAGCACTGCATTTACAATCTCGTTTAAACCTCTTAGTCCTTTACAGTAGGCATTTCTGGCCTATTTACAGGAAACAAACTTACACTTGACTACTTTGAGAAAAGAAGGTAATAGTTTCAAGTCATATCAAATTTATTTTGTAAAATGCTAGTGCATATTTCTCTATACATAAAACTAGTTTTGAAAAAACCTGAAAAGCCAAAATAACTTGTTGGGAAGTTTCAATGTTTACTTCACCTAAACTAAGGATGCCTTTGGAGAAGAGGCACTCAGAGCCAGACTAAGCTTTGAATTCATTTATTGAACCTATTACATACCAGACCCTGGGCATACCTCTTTTTTTTTTTTCGATTTGCTTTATTGTGCCTTGCAGATTTTTTTTTTTTTTTTTTAAACAAAATAAAGATCGTGGCCAACCCTGTGTTGAGTGAGTTTGTTGGCATAATTTTGCCAACAGCAAAATTGCTCCCTTCGTGTCTCTGTGTCACATTTTGGTAATTCTGTTAATATTCAAAAATATTCTCTTGGTCAGTTGCAGTGGCTCACACCTATAATCCCAGCACTTTGGGAGGCTGAGGTGGGTGGATCACTTGAGGCCAGGAGTTTGCAACCAGCCTGGCCAACATAGCAAAACCATGTCTCTACTAAAAAATACAGAAATTAGCAGGGCATGGTGGTGCGCTCCTGTAATCCTAGCAATTTGGGACGCTGAGACATGAGAATCTCTTGAACCCAGGAGGCGGAGGTTGTAGTGAGCCGAGATTGTGCCACTGCACTCCAGCCTGGGCGACAGAGTGAGACTGCATCTCAAAGAAAAAAATAATAATAATTATATATATATACACACACACACACACACACGCATACACACATATATCCTCTGAATATTGCAAACTTTTTCAATGGCATTATATCTGTTATGGTGTGATCTTTGGTGTTATTGTAATTGTTGTTGTCACAAACCACGCCCACATAAAATAGTGAACTTAATTGAGAAATGTTGTGTATGTTCTGACTGCTCCACTTACTGGCAGTTCTCTATCTTTTTTTCCTCTTCTTGGGCCTACCTATACTCCATGACTCAGCAATATTGGCATTAGGCCAATGAATAACCCTACAACCACCTTAAGTGTTTAAGTGAAAGGAAGAGTTGCACATCTCTCGCTTTAAAAAAGGTAGAAATGATCAAGCTTTGTGAGGAAGGAGTGTAAAAACAAAGACAAGTCAACAACTAGGCCTCTTGTGCCAGTTAGCCGTATTGTGAATGCAAAGGAAACATTCCTAAAGGAAATTAAAAGTGCTTGCTCCAGTGAACACACAAATGATGAGAAAGCAAAACAGCCTTATTGCTGACATGGAGAAAGTTTGAGGGATCTGATAGAACATCAAATCAGTCACAAATTTTCTTGAACCAAAGCCTAATTCAGAGCAAGGCCCTAACTCTTTTCAATTCTGTGAAAGCTGAGAGAGGTGAGGATGCTGCAGAAGAAAAGTTGGAAGTGAGCAGAGGTTCATGAGGTTGAGGGAAAGAAGCCATCTTCATAGCATGAAAGTACTAAATGAAGCAGCAAGTAATTTCCAGCTGCAGCAAGTTATCTAGAAGTTCTAGCAAAGAGAACTGGTGATGGTGGCTACACCAAACAACAGATTTTCAGTGTAGACAAAACAGCTTTCTATTGGAAGAAGATCTAGGACTTTCATGGCTAGAGAGGAGAAGTCAGTGCTTGGCTTCAAAACTTCAAAGGACAGGCTTACTCTTATTAGGGGTAATGCAGCTGGTGACTTTAAGTTGAAGCCGTTGCTCATTTACCATTCCAAAAATCCTAGGGTCCTTAGGTATTATGCTGAATTTACTCTGCCTGTGCTCTGTAAATGGAACAAAGCCTGGATGACAGCACATCTGCTTATACCATACTTTACTGAATATTTTAAATGCACTGTTGAGACCCACTGTTCAGGAAAAAAAAAAGCCTTCTTTCAAATTATTACTGCCCATTGACAGTGTACCTGGTCACTCACAAGCTCTGATGGAGATGTATAAGATTAATGTTGTTTTCATGCCTGCTAACACAACATCCATTCAGATCAGGTCTTACCATTTAAGAAATATGTTTCATGGCTGAGCACAATGGCTCACACCTGTAATCTCAGAACTTTGGGAGGCTAAGGTGGGTGGATCACTTGAGCCCAGGAGTTCAAGAGCAGCCTGGGCAACATGGTGAAACCCTATCTGTACAAAAAATACAAGAATTAGCCAGGTTTCTTGGTGCATGCCTGTAGTCCCAGCTACTTGGGAGGCTGAGGTGGGAGAATCCACAGAGTGTGGTGGTGCATGCTTGTAGTCTCAGCTATTTGGAAGGCTGAGGTCGGAGGATTGGTTGAGCCCTGGACGCAAAAGCTGCAGTGAGCCATGAACACCCTGCTGCACTCTAGCCTGGTGACAGATTGAGACCCTGTCTCTAAAAAAAAAATTGTTTTAAAGAGTTAACACAGCAAGCCTGAGACTATTATTCCTAAAAAGCCCTGCTTAGAAGGTTGGCTCTTGGCTGATATGTTAGTCTGTTTTCTGTTGCTTGTAACAAAATACCTAAAGTGCGATAAAGAAAAGGAATTTCTTTTTTACAATTATGGAGGCTGTGAAGTTCAAGGTCAGAGGGGCTGTATGTGGTGAAGGTCTTGTTGGTAGGAACTCTCTGCAGGGTCCTGAGATGGCATGGGGCATCACATGGCAAGCATGCTGGATATACTAGCTCAGATCTTTCTTCCTCTTCTTATAACGCCACTGGTCTCATTCCCATGGCATTTATGATGATCTAGTAATCCTTTTCTTTTGGTTTAGGGAAGACAGGGTCTTGCTGTGTTACCTAGGCTGTGATGCAGTGGCATGATCATAGCTCAGTGTAGTCTCAAACTCCTGGGCTCAATTGAGCCTCCTGCCTCAGCCTCTGAAGTAGCTAGGACTCCAGACGTTTACCCCCAAGACTGGATAATTTTTTTTTTCTTTTTTTTTTTTTTGGAGACGGAGTCTTGCTCTGTTGCCTAGCCTGGAGCACAGTGGCGCAATCTCAGCTCACTGCAACCTCTGCCTCCCGGGTTCAAGCGATTCTCCTGCCTCAGCCTCCTGAGTAGCTGGGATTACAGGTGTACACCTCCATGCCCAGCTAATTTTTGTACTTTTAGTAGAGATGGGGTTTCACCATGTTGGTCAGGCTGGTCTCAAACTCCTGACCTCAAGTGATCCTCCTGTCTCCGCCTCCCAAAGTGCTGGGATTATAGGCATGAGCCACTGTGCCCAGCCAACCCATGCACTTTTTACTTTTGCTGATATTGCTGTATATCCTTTTGTAATAGATTTTAGTCATGAGTACCACTATATGCTGAGACCATTGAGTCCTTCTCTGGAATCCTTGAAACTGGCAGTGGTCTTGGAGCACAAAAGGAAGAACAAGTTTTGCTGGGGCAGTGGGCATTGGAGGATATGAGTTCTGGTTTGGACATGTTACATTTGTATTGCCTGTGGGATATCTATGTTGTCTGGCACTTGGGAGCAAGTTCTGGGCTGGGAATACAGATCTGAGCATCATCAGCATTTGGATAGCATTTGATACCAAGGTAAATAAGTAGAGAGAGACAGTATGAAACGCTACCAAGAGAGAGAAAGCATGAAGCCCTGGAGACATGGACATTTAAAGATTGGGCAAATGAAGGAGAAGAGCCCAAGGAGTTAAAGAGAAGCCAGAGAAATGGGGCAAAACAAGCCAGGGATTGCATTAGTATTTATTGATATCTTATTTGGACCTGTTCCTTCCATAGCCCCTGCAGAAGTCAAGAGAAGAATTTCAAGAACAAATTAATTAACCGTATGAAAAGGTGGTATGAGGTCAAATAAGATAAGGTCTGGTAAACTGGGTTTAGTAACAAAGAAGTTGTGATGATCGGACGGGCCTGGTGGCTCGTGCCTATAATCCCAGCACTTTGGGAGTCCAAGGTGGGTGGATCACTTGAGGTCAGGAGTTCGAGACCAGCCTGCCCAACATGGTGAAACCCTGTCTCTACTAAAAGTACAAAAATTAGCTGGGTGTGGTGGCACATGCCTGTAGTCCCAGCTACTTGGGAGGCTGAGGCAGGAGAATTGCTTGAACCTGGGAAGCGGAGGTTGCAGTGAGCTGAGATCATACCACTGCACTCCAGCCTAGGCAACAGGATGAAACTCCATCTAAACACAGAAACAAAAACAAACAAAAAGTTGTTAGTGATCTTAACAAGATGAGTTTCAGTGGAGTGGTGGGAGCATAAGATTCCTTGTGTGGGATGATGAAAGAATAGTTCTGTTAGATGAAAGGATGTCAGGGACCGTGTTTGATGGGTAAGTTTGTATCATAGCTTCATTTCAATTGAATAAACTGGCAAAAGCAGGAGGGGAAGTAATCAGTAAGGGTGACTAGAAACTGTGATTTGCTAAAAGCAAGAATTTACAGTTTGAAGATATCATAGAGAGCATCTGAACTAATCACTTCAATTTACAGGTGGAAAAACTGAGGTCCAGAAAAAAGAAATAACCAAGATCCTGGGGATGAGCAGGGTCAACTGATGGTGTTCAAATCACATATACAATCTTGATTTCAAAGACACTTTGCTGTGTCCAGTATTTTTCTTTCTTTCTTTCTTTCTTTTTTTTTTTTCAATCAGCTTTCCTAGCTGGAAGTGCTTCTAGTATTGAATGGTGGGATGTCGTCAAGGAAGTATTTCTTCAAGGTTGGAGATGAGCAGCTTTTATAGTAATTCCAGGTTTGGGATATATCAATGAAATTTCATTTTTCATTTTCTATTGACAGTGCCAGATTGGCCTCCCTTTTTGGTCTGGATCAGGCAGCAGCTGGCCATGGAAATGAATTTTTCCAGTACACAGCCCCAAAACAGCCTAAGAAAGGCCAGGGAACTGCAGCAACAGGTAAGTTAAGAGTGTATTGCCCGGGCAAGGTGGCTCACACCTGTAATCTCAGCACTTTGGGAGGCCGAGGTGGGTGGATCAGTTGAGGTCAGGAGTTCAAGACCAGCCTGGTCAACATGGCGAAACCCCATCTCTACAAAAAATACAAAAATTAGCCAGTCATAGTGGTGCGTGCCTGTAATCCCAGCTACTAGGGGGGCTGAGGCAGGAGGATCTTTAGAACCCAGGAGGCAGAGGTTGTGGTGATCTGAGATCGTGCCACTGTACTCCAGCCTGGGCAACAGAGCAAGACTCCGTCTCAAAAAAACAAAAACAAAAACAAAACAAAATAAAAGCAAGAGTGTATTAGGGTTCTCTGGAGGGACAGAACTAATAGGAAATATGTATGTATGAAAGGGAGTTTAATTGAGAATTGACTCACACGATCACAAGGTAAAGCCCCATGATAGGCCATCTGCAAGTTGAAGAACAAGGAAGCCAGTAATGGATAAGTCCGAGTCCCAAAACCCCAAAAGTAGGGAAGCCGACAGTACAGCCTTCAGTCTGTGGCTGCAGGCCTGAGAGCCTCTGGCCAACTACTAGTGTAAGTCCAAGAGTCCAAAAGCCAAAGAACCTGATGTTCAAGGGCAGAAAGCATCCAGCACAGGAGAAAGATGAAAGTCGGAAGACTCAGCAAGTCAGCCCCTTCCACCTTCTTCTGCCTTATTCTAGCCATGCTGGCAGTTAATTAGATGGTGCCCAACCAGATTGAGGGTGAGTCTGCCTCTCCCAGTCCACTGATTCAGATGTTAATCTCCTTTGGCAACACCGTCACAGACACACCCAGGATCAATAATTTATGTACTTCAATCCAATCAAGTTGACACTCAGTATTAGCCATCACAACTGGCACTAGGATTGTGTCTTAACAGGTTAGATGGAAGGGTTAGCAACCTTCCAAAAGTGACATGCCAGGTTGTGTATCCTTGACCAGTCTGTCTAAGCTCACCCCCAGTGGTGGGTGCTTCTCTAAGATCTGGGATCCTAATTTCTAGTAGCTGGATGGTGTGCGCTTTCTTGGGAACTGATGGAGAGATTCGAAAGCAAGACTTTCTGCCCCATGTGGACACCGCTCTCCCAAACTCTGCCCAAGGCACTCTTAAGTAGACACTGTCCAGTGTTTTGGCAAGAAGGAAGACCTACTTTTCACTTCCTTTATCTGGGCAGGTTAGCTGTAGGCTCCATCCTGAGGCTCCACCCCTGTAGGGCCCCACTCATTAGCATTGTCAAATGATACAGTTATAACACATGTAGTTTTAAGATCTTGGTGGGCTTTTATTTGAGATTCTAGAATTGGGCAACACTTCATTCTATAAAATGGAATGTTGTGATGAGCTGAGCAGAGGAGGTTGGCTTTATAGGCAGAAAAGGGCTGAAGAAAGCAGAAACAGAACAAAAAACAACTGGTCACTTCAAAGTTACTTTTGTTGTGTAGGTTAAAGCAAAGGGGCCTTCCTTCCTTACCATGCTGGCTAAAATTGGATTATTTTACATTTTTTACATATATTATATTTACATATAATATATTTACATATATTATATTTACAAAAGATATTCCTACCACTCTTATCACTCAGGAAATTACAAGAGATTTGGGAGCACTGTGTCAGGAACCGAGGACAAAGAACAAACATATTTCATATTATACCACAACCTATATATAGCCCTTTACAGAAAATGTTTTCTGACCCCTGCTTTAAATATTACCTATTACTTTAGGCAGTTTTGCTGTAGGTGCTTCTCTTGTTTTCCAAGTCATAACCTGGCCAGATTTCTAGTAGGCTGTGCTTTTATATTTCCCGTGGTGCATCTCTTCATCAACAGTGTGCTTCAGAATTGAAGTGGTTGAGTTAATGGGAAAAAAAGAAACAACCTTAGTCACCACCCAATGAAAACACTTGATTTTTTATTTTTATTTTTTATTTTACTTAATTTTGGAAACAGAGTCTTGCTTTGCTGCCCAGGCTGGAATGTAGTGGCTGTTCACAGGTGCCATCCCAGTGCACTATGGCCTTGAACTCCTGGCCACTGCACCTGCCTAACTTGATTGTGTAAATCAGAAGACAGCAACTATGAGTTTGTTATGCTTTTAGCGGGGAGCTATAGAGGCAAGATTGCCTATAGAATTTTCTTTAGGCATTTACAAATAAATAAAGTAACAATACAGAAGACCTTCTCTGTTCAAGGAAAATTTTTTTTTTTTGAGATGGAGTCCTGCTGTGTCACCCGAGCTGGAGTGCAGTGGCATGATCTTGGCTCATTGCAACTTCTGCCTCTGGTGTTTCAAGCGATTCTCGTGCCTCAGCCTCCCAAGTACCTGGGTTTCAGACCTAGGCACTATAATGGTATAATTGTGTGAGGCACTTGGGTGATTAGAAGCTCAGTTTCTTCACCCCCAGACTAGATCATAGGGCTGCTTTGTGGATCAGTTAAGGATAATAATAATAAAAGCATTACAACACTAACTGTGATCTTTATAATAAGATCAATTTTGAAGCTAGTTCAGTGGTTAAAAATTAGTTTAAGGCTGGGTGTGGTGGCTTATGCCCGTAATCCTAGCACTTTGGGAGGCTGAGGCAGATGGTTCACAAGGTCAGGAGTTCAAAACCAGCCTGACCAACATGGTAAAACTTCATCTCTACTAAAAATACAAAGATTAGCTGGGTGTGGTGGTGCGCTCCTGGAATCCCAGCCACTCATGAGGCTGAGGCAGGATAATTGCTTGAACCTGGGAGGTGGAGGTTCCAGTGAACCGAGATCGCGCCACTGCACTCCTGCCTGGGCAACAGAGTGACACTCTGTCTCAAAAAAAAAAAAAATTAGTTTAAACCTAGAAGTGAATGACAACTTTGTTTTCTTGTTCATCTTCAGGAAATCAGGCAACACCAAAAACAGCACCAGCCACCATGAGCACTCCCGCAATACTGGTTGCGACAGCAGTCCATGCATATCGATAGTAAGTCACTGAGAAGGAACGCTCTCTGAAGTTTGGTGAAAGGGTGTGCAGTTAAGCTACTTTTTCTCGAAAAACTCTGTTTGTTGCAAAATGGTTATTCAGCCCTTCCACGGACAAAATCTCAGTAGTACTTTTAACATCTGAATTGGAGATTTCTGCCGTAAAACTTGAAAAACCATTATCTTGACTACTCTCTTTAGGAAGTGCTTGTACCCTCAACAACTGTCAAATACTCAAAGAAAGCCTCTCCACTGAGATAGCAAGAATGATAGATATTTATATTTAAAGAGTAAGGAAGTAGCATACGAGCTTTAAATTATAAACTGCTGGGCCGGGTGTGGTGGTGCTCGCCTATAATCCCAGCACTTTGGGAGGCCGAGGCAGAAGAATCACTTGAACCTGGGAGGTGGAGGTTGCAGTGAGCCGAGATCGTGCCACTGGACTCCAGCCTGGCGACAGAGCGAGACTCTGTCTCAAAAAAAAAACAAAAAACAACTAACTGCTCACCTGTGTGCCTGTCTAGAGGCTGAATGACTATTGTTCCCACTTCTCTGTGGCAGAAAAGAAAGCTGGTTCTGCAGAGTTTAGGGAAGTGTTAATACTTGTTGTTTCTCTTCCTTCTATAGCACAAATGGTCAATATGTAAAGCAGGGCAAATTTGGTGCTGCAGTTCTGGGGAACCACACAGCCAGAGAGGTGAGAGTGCTCCCACATCTCATGTATATTCAGATGTCCCAAATAATACCAATGAGTTGGCTTTTATCTGACTTGCCCAATGTTTTGTTTATCAGAAGATAAAGATGATTGTTTGTATTGAATGTTAATTTATAATATCAGGTATATAGTAAATGATCACATTTTGGTTACTATTGTGCATTCAAACAAATCCAACCATTCAAAATTGTTAAATTTGACCTTTGTGATATGATCCTACCTTACAAATTTGGGCATTTTTTGTTTGTTGTTTAATTGTGGGGTGTGTGTGTACATAGACACATACACGAACACATATATATACACACATACATATGCATATATAAGATAAAATTTGCCATTTAACTGTTTTAAGTGCATAATCCAGTGCTATTAATTGCATTCATAATATTGGTTGAGCAACCAACACTACTATACATTTCCCAAACAGAAACTGTAACCATTAAGCAACAACTCTACTTCTTCGTTTTCCCAACTCCCCATAAGGTCAAATCTACTTCTTGTTTTTATGAATTTGCCCTTTCTGGGTACCTCATATAAGTGGAATCATAACAGTATTTGTCTTTGGTGACTGATGTATTTCATTTCGCATAATATCCTGAAGGTTCACCCATGTTTTAGCATGTGTCAGTATTTCATTCCTTTTCATGGCTGAATAATATTTCATTATAGGTATATACCACATTTTGTTTATTCATTCATCAGTTGATGGACGCTGGGTTGTTTATACCTTTTGTCTGTTGGGAATAGACAAAGTATGTACCAGGAAGACTGACATAAAAGTATATGGTCAAGTTCCTGTTTTGGCTGTATACTAAGAGTGGAAATTACTGACTCGTATGGTAATTTTATGTATTGTTTTTTGAGAAACTGCCAAACTGTTTTCCACAGCAGCCGCACCATTTTACATTCCCACAAGCAATGTATGAGGGTTTCAGTTTGTTCACATCCTTGCCAGCATTTTGTTATTATTATTATTTTTAAATTCTTGCCATTCTAGTAGGTGTGGAATGGTACTTTATTGTGGTTTTAATGTGCATTTTACCCAATGTCTAATGTTGAGTATCTTTTCATTTGCTTATTGACCATTCATGTATTTTCTTTGGAGAGATGTCTATTCAAGCCCTTTGCCCATTTTAAAAATTGGATTTTTTTTTTGTTGTGGAGTTGTAGTAGTCTTTTAATATATTCTGAGTATGAAACGCTTATTTGCAGATATTTTATAGATTATCTTTTCACTTTCTTGATAATGTCCTTTAATGTACAAAAGTTTTTAATTTTGGTGAACTCCATATTATTAATTTTTTTCTTTTGTTACATGTACTTTTAGTGTTTTATCGGAGAATCCATTACCAAAACCAAGGTCACGAAGATTTACCTCTATGTTTTCTTCCAAGAGTTTTATGATTTTATCCCCTATGTTGTTTTATATACAAGTTAGGCCTACAGTCAAAAATTACTTGACATGTGAAGAGGTGGGAAAATGTAACTGATAATCAAGGGAACAAATAAACTAGGAGCAGACTCACAAATAATCTAGACATTGAAGTTAACATACAAAGCACTTAAAACAACTAGGAATAATATCTTAAAGAAAATAGAGGAAAAGTACAAACGGAATGAAAAGGTGGAGAATTTAAAAAATTAGAATCTATAAGAATAATCACATGGCATTCTAGATTTGAAAAATATAATTTCTGAAATTAAGAACATATTGGATAGATTTAACAGAGTAAGAATACAGCAGAAGACAGAATTAGTGACTTCGAAGGCAGTTCCATAGAAAATATTCAGACTGAAGCACAGAGAGAAGAAATAATAGAAAGAGACTAGGGCAAAGATTGATGTGGGACATGGTCTGACGTCCATATAATTGGAATCCAAAGACAGTAGAATTACATCTTTAAAGTGCTGAAAGGAAAACAAAACCCTGCCTATTACAGAATTCTGTAGCAACAAAAATGTCCTTCGAAAATGAAGGCAAAATAAATTTTCAGCCAAACAAAAGTGAGAGAATTCATTGTAGTAGATTTGCACTGCAAGGAACATTAAAGGACATTCTTTAAGTTGAGGGAAATGAATGTCTGTGTCTTTCAAAAGACATGGAGAGACTGGGCGCAGTGGCTCACGCCTATAATCCCAGCACTTTGGGAGGCTGAGGCAGGTGGATCACCTGAGGTCGGGAGTTGGAGACCAGCCTGACCAACATGGAGAAACCCCGTCTCTACTAAAAATACAAAAAAATTAACCAGGTGTAGTGGCACATGCCTGTAATCCCAGCTACTTGGGAGGCTGGGGCAGGAGAATTGCTTGAACCCAGGAGGTGGAGAGGTGGAGGTTGCGGTGAGCCGAGATCATGCCACTGCACTCCAACCTGGGCAACAAGAGTGAAACTCCGTCTCAAAAAAAAAAAAAAAAAGACATGGAGAATGTTCATAGAAGTATCATTCATAATAGCCTCTAGCTGGAAACAACTCAAATGTTCATAAACAGGAGAATGAATGAAGAGTTTATGGTATATTCACATAATATAATACTACATGACAATAGAAGAGAACAAAGTACTGCAACGTGAAGTATCAAGGCTTACTCTTACAGATACGGTGAGTGAAAGAAGCAAGGCAAAAGAGTATACTCTGTATAATCCCATTTATACAAATTTAAGAATAGCAAAATTGGGTGCGGTGGCTCACACCTGTAATCCCAGCACTTTGGGAGGCTGAGACAGGTGGATCACCTGAGGTCAGGAGTTCAAGACCAGCGTGGCCAGCATGGTGAAACCCAGTCTCTACTAAAAATACAAAATGAGCAGGGCATGGTGGTATGCACCTGTAGCCTCAGCTACTCTGGAGGCTGAGGCAGGAGAATTGCTTGAACCCGGGAGGTGGAGGTTGCAGTGAACAGAGATTGTTCCACTGTATTCCAGCCTGGGCAACAGAGAGACAGTGTCTCAAAAAGAAAAAAAAAAAAAGAAAAGGCAAAATTAATCAGTGACAGAAGTCAGAATATTGGTTACCTCAGGGTGGGGATTACTGACTAGGAAGGGCATGAAGGAGCTTCCTGTGGTGTGGGAAATGCTCTGCTATTTTAAAAATCCGGTTAATGGTCACGTGGGCATATATACATATATATATATGTATAATGTACATGTATTTTATGTTTTTCATCAATTTAAAAACAATTTGTATTTTCTTTTACACAACCAGTCACTCTCTCTTAGTCACCCCTTGTATAAATGAAAACACTAACAAAACGAAGACATTGCCAATTACAGTTAAACAGCAAGGCCAAAATGAGAGATTAACGTGGATAGTTAGAAGATAAAATTTACAGTTGAGGCCTTAAAGGATGAAAAGATTTTGAGTTTAATAGCTGTATGAAGCACAACCCCGATACATATTGCTGATTTTATGTTGCCTTTTAACTTCTGTTCTCTTTTTTTTCTGTCGTTGCTTGTCTACAGTATAGGATTCTTCTTTATATCAGTCAGCAACAGCCAGTTACGGTTGCTAGGATTCATGTGAACTTTGAGCTAATGGTAAGACTTCATCATGTAATCATTAGCTCCTTCAGGATAGGTTTACAGGAGAGATTGGTCTGATTGTACCTAGTAGAAATTAGATCCACTTGTTCATCCCTGGGTGTCCTTGTAAGTATCTAACAGAACCTTTCAGAAAGGTCTCTTGGCTCCTTCTGGGAATGTGGACTAAAGGGTGAATGGTGGAGGGTGAGAGGGAAGAAGAAAAATCTCGGATACTTCTCTTTGGGTCCACCTGAGTCATGACCCTACTCTGTGAGCTTAGGCAGTCATGTTTATCTGGTATAATACTGCTTGTGGATGCATTATCTTAACATTTCTCCTTTCTCCAGGTTCGCCCCAATAACTATAGCACCTTTTATGATGACCAAAGACAGAACTGGTCCATCATGTTTGAGTCGGAAAAAGCTGCTGTGGAGTTCAATAAGCAGGTGATAATATCTTCTTCTCCCTGTGAGAAGCCAGAATACTTGTTTGGATTTCCCTTAATTTTAGGGAAACATATAGAAACCCCATAATCTGCTGTGTTTTGTTGGTGACTAGCATAAAAAAACCCACTAAATTTGCCACTTCAGCCTGTTGTATGATTTCAGGAAAATAATAGGAATACTTACTGAAACTGCTTGACAATTTAGCCTTTCTCTTTTTTAAAAGAGAATGTTTTAGGCTGGGTGTGGTGGTTCACGCCACGCCTGTAATCCCAGCATTTTGGGAGGCCAAGGCAGGTGGATTGCTTGAGCCCAGAAGTTCAAGACCAGCCTGGGCAACATAGTGAAACCCCATCTGTACAAGAAAAGAAAGAGAGAGAGAGAGAGAGTAGGTTACTACATACTCATTGTAGAAAATTTAGAAAAGCATTAAAAAAAAAAAAAATCATAATCTTACTACTCAAAGTAACCACTATTTCCTTTTTTCTATGCATAATATACATAAGTAGATATAATCCTTTAATAGTTCTTTATCTTGCTTATTGTATTTAAAAATGTATAATTCATCTTTTCCTATCTCATGAAAAACTATTTGGAAACATTTTTGAAGGCTGCATAATATGCGTGTTGTCAGTTCAAGCTACCGTAACAAATTACCATAGAGTGATTAAGCAACAGAAAGTTATTTCTCACGGTTCTTGAGGCTGAAAGTCTGAGATCAGGGTGCCAGCATAGTTGGGTTCTAGTGAGACCCTCTTCTGGGTTGCAGACTATCTTCTTCTTGTATCCTTACATAGTAGAAAGAGGGTGAGATGGTTCTCTGGTATCTCTTTAATAAGGTCCCTAATCCCATTCAGGAGGGCTCCACCCTCCTGGCTTACTTACCCCGCAAAGGCCCCACCTCCTAATACTGTCACACTGGGAATTAGGATTTCAGTGTAAGTATTCGAAGGGGACACAAACATTCAGCCCATAACATTTGTTTCTTAGTTGATGTAATCATTACCTTATGTTATGCACTTAGATTGTTTTCTATCTCTGCAATAAATGACACCGAGGTGAGCATTTTTTATAGAAGTGTGTCCTTTTTTCCTCCCTACATATTTCCATAAGCTTTGTTTCAGTGAGTGAGTGATTCGGTTCAGTCAAAAGGTCCAGATATTTTTAGTTTTTATTTTTATTTTTTTTTTATTTTGAGACGGAGTCTCGCTCTGTTGCCCAGGCTGGAGTGCAGTGGCCGGATCTCAGCTCACTGCAAGCTCCGCCTCCCGGGTTTATGCCATTCTCCTGCCTCAGCCTCCTGAGTAGCTGGGACTACAGGCGCCCGCCACCTCACCCAGATAGTTTTTGTATTTTTTTAGTAGAGACGGGGTTTCACCGTGTTAGCCAGGATGGTCTCGATCTCCTGACCTCATGATCCACCCATCTCGGCCTCCCAAAGTGCTGGGATTACAGGCTTGAGCCACCGCACCCAGCCTATTTTTAGGTTCTTAATACACTTTGGCACACTGCTTTTTCAGAAAGATTGTACTATTTCACATTTATAGCAATTTTCTCATTGTACCTTTGCCAGCATTTAGAATGATCCTTTTTTTCTTTTGGTCTTCATCACTTGGTAAAAATAATGATGCCTCATTGTTTTTATTTGATTGCAATAATGAATTTTTTTTTTTTTTTTGAGATGGTGTCTTGCTCTGTTGCCAGGCTGGAGTGCAGTGGCGTGATCTCAGCTTACTACAACCTCTGCCTCCTCGGTTCAAGTTATTCTCCTGCCCCAGCCTCCCGAGTAGCTGGGACTACAGGCGCACACCTCCACTCCTGGCTAATCTCTTGAGCTTGTGATCCGCCCGCCTCGGCCTCCCAAAGTGCTGGGATTACAGGCGTGAGCCACCGCGCCTGGCCTCTGGAACTTTTTAAAAGAAAATGAGCAGCAAGTTTCTAATGGATACTATATTAAAACATTGATAAAATTGGGTCTTGAATCCACATTTTTCTAAACTCATAGTCTAAAGATCTTTCATAGTATATTGCTTTTGAGGGCTTAATAATATTAAAACACAAGCCCAAGGATAATTATTCATAAATAGAATAATTATTCACAAAGATGCCTCTGACTCCTTTGTCTAAGATTTATGCTAAGATAATATGGCCAAATCTGTAGGTGGCATTGATGTGGATTCTGGGATTGCAACATGATTTTGTAAATGCCCTTTCTACTGCAGTCTTTAGAAGTGCTTTTTGACATTTTTTCAAAGTTTCCCTTTCTTTCCTAGGTTCCCAAAAACTGAAACAGTAAATCAGTATCATAATCAATAGCTAATGCTTATTAAGTACTTACTGTTATTTGCCAGGTACCTTGTCAAGTACTCTACTTATATTAGCTCATTTAATTTTCATAACCATGCTATGAGATGTGTGAAGCATTATCTCCATCTTGGGTACATAGAGATTATTTGGCCAGGGTCACAAAGTTAATAAGTGGCAGTACCTGGATCTGTACTCAGACATTCTGACTACAAAGCCACACTCCTAGGCACTTTTGATTCCTGGCAAGATAAGTAACTTTCATTTGGTTTACTTCTAAACATGTAATCTCTTTTGTTAGTGGATGAAGCTATTTGAGAAAGAGCAGTAGCAATAAAGGAATGAGTACTTACTGAGCTTAAACTACATTTATGCTGCTTCGATTTTGTCTTGCAGGTGTGCATTGCTAAGTGCAACAGTACCTCTTCCCTGGATGCAGTGCTCTCCCAGGACCTCATTGTGGCAGAAGGCCCTGCTGTAGAAGTTGGAGATTCTCTGGAAGTGGCCTATACCGGTTGGCTCTTTCAGAATCATGTGCTGGGCCAGGTAAGAAAATGCACCTTGCAAGTTCTTTTGTAAACTTACATAGCATGAGGGCTATTCCCAGGGAAGATACTATTACTGTGAACTGCTGCTGTTGTCAAATAGGAGCCCCACTTTAGACACTGCAATTGCTTTGGGGGCACATTATGAAATGTGAATGTGTAAAAGATCCTCAGTGCCACTCTGTCACTTCAACTTAGGGAAAGTGGGAACCAGTTTCCCAAGTACTATTATTTTTGCTAGTTGTTCATGTGTATGCTCCTATACCAGTGTTACACTTGAATATATTCTTATGGGATTAAGTCTTAAAACTTCTTTTTAGACCCTCCTTACAGTTTTTCTTATAGTAGATACTGTAAATACATTGAGCTTATTGTGTTTTAATATTGTTAAGCCCTTAAAAGCAATATATTATATGAGAGAAAGACCTTTATGAGTTTAGAAAAATCTGGATTCAAGATCCAATTATATACTAATTTGACCTTGATCAAGTCATTTATACTCTTATTTTTTTCCATTTGCGAATGGAGATTAATGATCTTGCTCTGCTTACTCGGCAGGGTTAGTGTCAGCATCAAAATGAGATGATTTATTTGAAAGTATATTGTGGATGAAAAATGCTTAAATGCATAGTTGTAGGAATGTGTTTTTTTTTTTCTAAACCTGGAAAATCACTGTTTTAGAGATACTCATTATGATAACACCCTTTAGCTATGATGTCATCCAACATTTCAGGTCCTTTAGAAACTATCTTCTGAGTGTATTTAACAGTCCCTGTTCCAGAAGTACTGTGCTGGTATGTAGTTAGTTGAATGCCATAATGGTTATTATTATTTTTGAAATTGGCTGGCCTCATTTCCTTCAATCAAATTGCAGGTTTTCGACTCCACTGCTAACAAAGATAAGTTGCTTCGCTTGAAATTAGGATCAGGAAAAGTCATCAAGGTAAAGGCTGCACTGTGTTTTTTTATGGTTTTATCAGTTGCAGTGGGTTTAACTTAGATTAAATTGTGTGGAATTTCTTTTCTTTTCTTTTTTTTTTTTTGAGACAGAGTTTCGCTCTTGTTGTTCAGGCTGAAGTGCAATGGTGTGATCTCAGCTCGTTGCAACCTCCACCTCCCGGGTTCAAGCGATTCTCCTGCCTCGGCTTCCCGAGTAGCTGGGATTACAGGCATGCGCCACCATGCCCAGCTAATTTTGTATTTTTAGTGGAGATGGAGTGTCTGCATGTTGATCAGGCTGGTCTCGAACTCCTGACCTCAGGTGATCCACCCGCCTCGGCCTCCCAAAGTGCTGGGATTACAGGCGTGAACCACCGCGCCCGGCCTGTGGGATTTCTAATCAGGGTATCTTTTTGACATCTGGAAATGCCTGGATGAAGAATATGAGGGGAAAATGTGTTACATTGCATTTGGGATATTTTTATCTATGAATCATTATATTGAAGATGGTTACAATCGTTTTCTGTAGTCCTGACCTTTTCTCTTCTATGACTCTGAGCATATTATTTCATCCTTCCTATAGCCTAGTAGGGGAAAAGGTGAGACAGTTTATTCTAGAAACTTGTCATAAAGGGTTGAATCTCATCTGTCTGGGTTGCTTTGAATCAGCACTTTCCAATCACTGTGGGAGGCAACTGTGACAATAGCAGGAGGAACACTGGGATTCGAATCCGAGAACTTGGGTTCAAGTTGTGAATTTTTTCTTTACTAACTGTGCAGGTGTTTCATAAAATAAAGAATGTTTTACACATGTGGTATATTATGGTGTCAGGACATAGTAGTGATGATGCATTGTGCTGTACTCATTCATCTGTGTGGTAAAAAGGTTCATTTTCATGACCGCTTTTCCCAGAATCCTATGGAGACTTTTTCCCATAGATCATAGCAGTTAAGTCATGATCCCTGAACCTAGACAGATCTAATGTTGAATCTTAGCTTAACAACTTACTAACTGTGTCAGGATCTTGGGCTACATACTTAACCTCCACAAGCTTCAGTTATTGAAGTAAAGTGGGGACAATCCTGACAACCTTATGAAGTTTTTGGAGGGGCTTAAACAAGATCATGCATGTAAAGCACTTTCCACACTTCCTAGAAAACAATCTTTTTTGATGGGGGGAAATGGAGTCTTGCTTTATCACCTAGGCTGGAGTTCAGTGGCATGATCTCAGCTCTCTGCAACCTCTGTCTCCTGGGTTCAAGCGATTCTCCTGCCTCAGTCTCCTGAGTAGCTGGGACTACAGGTGTGCACCACCATGTCTGGCTAATTTTTTGTATTTTTGGTAGAGACGAGGTTTCACCATGTTGGCCAGGCTGGTCTCGAACCCCTGACCTCAGGTGATCCACCCATCCCGGCCTCTCAAAGTGGTGAGATTACAGCTGTGAGCCACTGTGCCCAGCTGAAAACATGCTTTTTTAATGATAGCTTTTCTTACTCTTACTGCTCTTCTTTTATTCCTCCCATTTTCTGTCATCATCTAAGCTAAATATATTTCATGCAACCCCAGATATGCCTGCTTTTACAAGTAGGTTTAGAGGGTGTCTTCTAGATATTCTTATAGCAACACGGGGCAGTAGTCAGACCCGACCTCTGGAGGCACTGAGTAAACCTGAAAGTGTGGATAAGTGAAACCTGTTGCTCCTGTACTTCACTTTGTCTTCTGAGGAGCTTCTTGTTTGATGAACTTTTCCTATCTGATTTTTAAAGGGCTGGGAAGATGGAATGCTGGGCATGAAAAAAGGAGGAAAGCGGTTGCTTATTGTCCCTCCAGCCTGTGCTGTTGGCTCAGAAGGGGTAATAGGCTGGACTCAAGCAACAGACTCGATCCTGGTGTTCGAGGTGGAGGTTAGGCGGGTGAGTGAAACTGTCTTTGTTTTGTTTGATGAGTCTTCTGCATGTCTTTTTGCTAGTTAAATGAATAAATAAATGAAGATATTTGAAAACTAGGTTCTGAAGACGTAGATTTCTTTGAAAAAGTAGAAAAGGAGTAGTCAGAAAGAGCAACAGCTTTGAAATCTAAGGATCAAAGTATTATGTCCTTCCTGGCTCTCTATTCAGAGTCTAGAAGTGGTTGTGACTTTAAGAAAGTCACATCTCATGCCTGTAATCCCGGCACTTTCGGAGGCCGAGGTGGGCGGATCATGAGGTCGGGAGATCAAGACCATCCTGGCTAACGTGGTGAAACCCCATCTCTACTAAAAATACGAAAAATTAGCTGGGCTTGGTGGCAGGCGCCTGTAGTCCCAGCTACTTGGGAGGCTGAGGCAGGAGAATTGCTTGAACCTGGGAGGTGGAGATTGCAGTGAGATGAGATCGTGCCATTGCACTCCAGCCTGGGTGACAGAGCAAGACTCTGTCTCAAAAAAAAAAAGTCACATCTTCACACTAAGCTTTTTATTTTGTCTACAAAATAGTGACTCCTGCCCAATGTATATACTTTTTACTTAGTGATTCTATGGCTACAAACTTGATATCTTTACATAAGTATGCAAAGATTGCGTGTGTGTATGTTTTACTATGACTACCTCTGCCACATTGTAGTAGCCAAAAACTGGCAACAACGTAAATGTCCATCATTAAGATACTGGTTAAATTATGTTTTTTTTAATAGACTTTTATGTAGCTCTTAAAGAATATGAGAAATCTATTGTTAAGGAAGCAAGTTGCAGAACATTGTGGATAGTATGGTCTCATGTGCGTGTGTATGTGTGTGCATGTGTGTGTGTCTGTGTATACACATATACATATCCATATCCATAGTCATATGTACATATATGTATATACACACACATGTAATACATACATATATGCTCATATATTCATAGAAAATTCCTGGAAGCTTTAAAAGAAATCATTAAAAGTGATTTTTTTTTCTGTAGAGTGGAAATGGAGTTCAGAAAGTTTTACTTTTTGTCACTGTACCTTTTGTACCATGTAAAAAACTTAACATGAATATATATAGTTTCTGTGCAATAAATTGTGCTTAGTCAACTTAATACTACCTGTTCCCTGCCCCCAAATGATCCTGTTTGCTTTATACTGTTTGTTAGATTCAAATGTGATAGGGTTTGTTACTGTAAACTCTAAAATACAATACAAATAGGGAATATTATGGTCATCTTCTTTATGGCTGTTACACCTGCCACAGAGAAAGGATGTGCTTCCCTTCTCAGTGATGCTTTCCTAACCATTCCTAACTGGACACTTTCATCCTGCTGGGCTGCTCTAGCCCTCTGTCAATGACATGTGACCTGCTGCCTTTTTTCTTTATTACAACTTTTATATTCTCTGTCAATTTTCCTTTGAGTTTGAAAAATCATGGCTGGTGATAGGTAACAAACCAATTTGAGTTTATCATGACTGGCACATGAAACAAAAAATTTTCTGTTTTACCAATAATCAAACAATGACAAATTGACCTGCATATCAAATTCACAAGGCTGGTAGAGAATGATACCCCGTGTGGCAAGAGTGTTCAGAAAGATTTATACACTACTGTGGTGTATAAACTAGTTCACTCTTTCTGAAGGGAAATTTAATAGTATCTATTAACCCATTTATGCTGGAGGTTGCAAAATTTTGGGGAAAAATCAGACCTTGGTGATGACCTTGAGCAGTAGGATATAAATTACTCCCACAAGCTTAACGTTCCAATAATGGACCACTTGGCATAAATGGGTTAAAAGCTTTCAAAATGAGCGTCCCTTTTATCCAACAATTTTAACTAATTTATAGTTTGGAAATATTTAACTAAAATTTAACTAATTTATAGTTTGGAAATATTTAAGATTATGTACAAAAATACAGATACAAAGCTATTCATGGAAGCATTGTTTATGATAGAAATAAGCTGAATGTCTAACAGTGAGGAATTGGTGAAATATACTTTGTAATAGAATATGTATTTATGACTTCAGTTCCTAAAATCCTTTGGAGACTTTTTCCTGTAGATCATAGCAGTGAAGGGCTGACCCTTGAAGTTAAATATACTCTTCAGTAGTTAAAAATAATATTGCAAATTAATATGGAAATAGGTTAATATGTCAGTGAGTGAGCAAAACAGGTTACAAAACAGCATGGCCCATTTTTGTAAAAGCTGTATACAGAGACAGATAATATAATGGTAGTTGGATTGCAGGTGATTACTACCTTTGTCTTTTTGGCTGAGCTACATTTTCTGATTTGCCTGCAGTGAACAGGTAATGGCTTGTGTAATGAAAAATAAGTAAAATGAAAGGAGGGTGAAAGGGGAAGGGTATTTGTCGCCTATTCCACCTGCAATGACTCTTTCTCTAGGTGAAGTTTGCCAGAGATTCTGGCTCTGATGGGCACAGTGTTAGTTCCCGGGATTCTGCAGCCCCGTCTCCCATCCCTGGTGCTGATAACCTCTCTGCTGATCCTGTTGTGTCACCACCCACATCAATACCTTTCAAATCAGGGTAAGATACTCCAATTGTATGAAGCTCTTTTATGGCTCATAAAAATGACTCTTAGAGGGGTTCAGAAATAGAGATATAGTTAAAAACTAAAATAATTTTAAATAACTGGAAAAAATGGGATCAGGGAAATGGGGAAAATACTTGCATCAGATTTTTCTGACGAAAGTTTAATATTCATAGGCCTCAAAAGCACTAACTCAGAAGAATACTTACAAAATTCTGGAAGAAAACTAAGCAGAGGGCATAAATACAAAATTATATACTCATGGAAAAAATGTAAATAATAAACATTTGGATGGAAAGTTGTTCAACTTTACTAGCATTCAAAGATTATGCAAACTAAAGAAGAGTTAAAATTCTGTTTTACAGTCATTAAATTGGCACACATTTAAAAAAACAATTTGCTTATCCAATATAGTTTGGACTTGTGATTCTGGATTTTGTTTTCAATCTTGGAATATGGTCTGTTTGCTTTCAGGGAGCCAGCTCTTCGTACCAAATCTAACTCCCTCAGTGAACAACTTGCAATAAATACAGTAAGTATAAGAGTCTTAGCCAGGCATGGTGGTTATCACCTGTAATCCTAACACTTTGCGAAGCTGAGGCAGGAGGATCACTTCAGTGCAGGAGTTCAAGACCAGCCTAGGCAACATAGTGAGACCTTGTCTCTCCCTTAAAAAAAAAAAAGAGTTTTTCTCCCTCACCCCTAGTGTGCTGAGGTTTTATGTGCTTAGGATATGGTAGGTTAGAGAAAAAAAAAGTTAAGAGGCTAAAATGTTTCTAGGCTAAATCAATGGTTACTTTGTTCATTTCCCCTTACTTGGGAGTCAGTGTAAGTTAGCCTCAGCTTCTGCATAGAGATTCAAATCTTGATTCTTATAAGCATGTGGCCTTGAGAAAATTGTCTAACTTCTGTGATCCTCAGCTTCTTCATTAGTTAAAAGGAATTCATTCTCATAGCTCCTTTTTACAGTTTTTGTGAGGATTAGAGATAATTTGTAAAGTGCTGAGCTCAGAGCCTTCGTTTAGTGTGTCTTTAATAAGTGGTCACCGTGATTATTATCAGGAGACTGATGTTCAACTGGGGGAGGAGCCTCTCTCAGTTAAAGTGCTCTTCAATTTTAGAAATATTATTTATTCCGAGGATTGTGTTAGTGGTTAATCCTAGGCACTCTCTTCTACTTGCTTTCTGTGACCTTGAACAATTTAGCTTCTCTAAGCTTCATGTGTAAATCTTCATCTCTAAAATGGAGATGTTGCCTATCTCAAACAGATTTTTATGACTTTTAAATAAAATAATGCCTATGGAGTTTTTAGTATTGTGTCTGGCATATTGTAAGCACTCAGTAAACATTAGCTCTTGTTATTATCATAAATGTTGCTAACATTACATATCTTTATACTTTCATTCTCACAGAGGAGCTCTGTACTAATTCACCAGCTGATTGACTTTGAGCAGGACAGTGAGCCTCTGTGTTTACCCAGTTGTAAGATGAAAGTGCCAGCATGCTGTTTTAGTAAAATCTGGATTTGAATGCGTTTAAGAAGGATGCATATGGTAGTTTGCTGCTGGCCTGCCTGGTCTGTGAAGGCTTCTGAGTTTGCTGCCTGTGGACCAGACAGTGGCTGAGGCACTTCAAATTCTAAAACCCTGTGGCCTTCACCTACTGCACTGGGAAACAGAATAGGTGTATGGAGTGAAATTGGTGCTAGCATCTCTCCAACCCTAGTTTACTTGTTTATATTCAATCCAAAGAATTATTAAGCAAATAATTGTTTCGAAGTGATCTCCTAAACCCAGAAGGTTAAATCAAAGAATCAGAGGAAAATTGAAGAATAATTATTATCTCAGATCTTTGAACAGTCACCAAAATGGTCCAATATTGGTTCCATTGTACTCTGTAGTCATAACAACTCTTGTTACCTATTTCTAAGCTATAGTAACTTCTAGCAGACTAATGGCCTCCAACTATTTTTTTCTTTTTTTTTTTTAAACAAGTTTGTTTTTTTAATGGAGGCAAAATTTACATAACATGAAATTAACCACCTTTCTTTTTCTTTTTCTTTTCCATTTAAGTTTTTATCTTTGTTTTGAATAGGTAATTACATTTATATGGCACAGTTATCAAAACAATATAACAAGATCTACATTGTGAGGACTCACTTCTATTCCTGTCCTTATCTACCCTATTCCATCTCACACCCCTTAGGTAACTGCTTTTATTAGTTTCTTATATATTCTTTCAGTGTTTCTTTATGCAGGTGCACGCAAATAGGAATGTATATTTTATTCCTCCCTCCTTTCACACACACAAAGTAGCATACTCTGTATGTAATGCACCTTGCCTTTTCCATATAACTATATTATATAAAAAATGCAAAATCTTTTCATGTTATTGTATAGAGAGCGTCTTCATTTTAATCTGTAGATCACAATATTCCATTGTGTGCATATGGTTTATATAACTAGTCCTTTCCTGATGTATCCAACTTCTTTTGGATACATCATCAGTTAAGAAAAAATAAGCACACACTCCCAGTGTATGTTTATTGACAAATTATGTACATAAAGTACCATCAGTCCCTGTAAGCAAACTCAATGTCTTACATTGGTAGCTTAAAAATATTAAAAATACAGCCTAGGCAACATGGCGAAGCCCTTTCTCGACCAGAAATACAAAAAATTAGCACCTGTGGTCCCAGCTACTTGGGAGGCCGGGGTGGGAGGACCTCTTAAATCTGGGAAATGGAAGTTGCAGTGAGCTGAGATCACACCACTGCACTCCAGCCTGAGTGATAGAGACCCCATCTCAAAAAAAAAAAAAAGTAATCTTAATAAAAATGGAGGTTATGATCATTTCCTTCTACACCCAATAGCTCATGTTGTGCACCTTCAGGTGTACTTACTTGCCATTCTGAAATTTTGGACCAGTTAATGGAAGCTTCTAGCACAGGGTCTAGTGTGTAGTTAATGCTAAGTCATAGTTAAATTAACCTGAAGTTAAAACAAAGAGCTCCTATTTCCTTTTCTTCACAGATCTCTTCTGAATATCTATCTACTGAATTGCTTCAGGCTTTTGAGTGAGGGTACTGTCATCTAAAATGCCTCCCTCTCTTAACATCTCTATGTTAGTTTTTCATCTGTAAAATGAGACTAATTATGCCTGCTGGGGAGACTTGATCGAATACGTGTGAAACTACTTTGTCCATTCCAAAGATACAGGGAATTATTTTTACTACTTTTAATTGTGATCCATGTATGCTTCTATGCAAGAAATCTTTGATTCTCATTTTCTAGAGGATATGTTTTTAAATAGATATGGTAGGGGGATTTGTTGAAGGATTTGATACAAAAGCCAAAGGGATAGAGCTGCCTGAAGGTGATAAGCCTTGATCACAGTGATTTTTGTGACTTTCCTCTCTTTGTAGAGTCCCGATGCAGTCAAAGCCAAGTTGATCTCTCGGATGGCTAAAATGGGCCAGCCCATGCTGCCCATCCTTCCACCACAGCTGGATTCCAATGATTCAGAAATCGAAGTATGTCCCCCTGGCTGTATTAGAATGAATAGTAGAGATGTCGCCATCATCTTTCTTTTTATTTGGTTGGAGTGATTGTGTTTTCTGCCTCTAAGGCAGAATCATAATTTAGAGGGCTAATATGCAAAATGATACAGATTGGTATTGGTACATGTGTTTCTACTGTGATTAGTACTTCCCCTGAGAGATGGAAGCAATTTTGTAGATCTTTTACAAGAACTGGGCAGTTTTCAGTGGTTAATTTAGCCTTCTTTACTAGAATCTCTGTTGTTACAAGAGATCACTCTCTGGACAGCATGATGCCCAGTTCATAGCAGATGCTCTATTCATATGTGTTGAGCGAATGTTTAGATTATTTTGGGAAAGGTTGGTCTTCTCACTGATGTTGCCTATCACTAAAGCTCCAACTAGTATGTCTTTTGACTTTGTATATGGTATTTTTGTGTTTGTTTTCTATTTAGAAGTTCAAGAATTTTATTGAATTCAAATCTGTCAACTTTCTCCCCTTGTTATTTGCTTTTAACATGCTTAGAAAGCCTCCCCACTTTCAGATTATAAATATCACATGTATTTTTAAAGATATTTATCAATATTTTATACTTAGATCTAAATTTTTAATCCATTTGGAGTTTGGTGTTCCAAATTGATTTTTAGTATTCTTTTACTTTGATAGAAAACAAGGAAGGGGTGATGGTCTTGAAAAATTTTTTTCTGGAATATACTTTATATTTTACATTTTTGTTTTATTCTTGGAAAAGCTCTACGTAGATTTAACATCTTAAAGGAAGATAGGATTTCTGAGGCCTACTGTTATAAGATTAATTTTTTTGTGGTCTGGAAATGCAATTTAAATAAGAATATTTTTATTAAAAATTTTGTATGTTTTTATTCATTTTAGAATACTTTAAAATTATAGAAAAGAAACATATTGAACAAAAAGGGCATTCATCTTTATATATTGCTTTGTAACCTGATTTTTAAACGTAATGTTATATCATAAACATTTACGTTAACATAAATGATTTAAGTAAATAAAGTGGTTTAAAGGAAACCCAGTGTTCTATTATATCATTTTATTATATTCCTTTCACTCTGTTGTTAGACATTTAGGTTTGTTAAGAGCTGCAGAAATCTAAAACTGGGATGTTTTTCTAGAAGAGAATATAAGGGGACAAGGGGAAGTTCTAAAGTAAAAGAATGTCTAAAACTTTGGTCCTTGAACTATAGCATAGCAGATTACAGTCAATATTATGCCTCAAGATTTTCTGTTTCTTATATGAAGCAGGAGGATGTAGAATAACTTTGTTTAGAGTTATAGCTTTGATTTTATGAAACGAAAGATTGTTGGAAAAAACATCCTAAAACTATATTATCTAAATATAGCATGTTAATCAGGTGCAGTGAATCCTGCGTTATCCGATTTTCATTGAGTACCTTGAGGCCTATGGAGATGATTTGCCAGAAGGGAAGAGTCTGGATTATTTCTTGCAAAAGACCACTTTTTTTGTAGGAATAGATTATATTTGTCTTAAGGTAGCTACTGGTTTGGAAAATGATATATTCTGAAGAGTGGTTAGTTTAGCTGCTTCAGACAATAGAACATCAACTTCTTAGAATATTTGTGGAAATGAACTATATTTACTTATTCAATATGATTTACAGGGATAAGGACTCTTACTTTATTGCATAGCAGAGTGCTTTTTCTCCACAACCCACACCCTCAACTCATGGCCTTCCGCTTACCTTTCCTTCCTCTTCTTTGCCTAGAAATCCTGTGTTGGAAGCAGATTTAGGGCAGTCAGTCAGCCTCAGTCTTCAATGAGGGACCCCATACAGAGTAACTCAAACACTCGTTCCTGTTTCAGGATGTGAACGCTCTGCGAGGAGGTGGGCAGCCCGTGGTGACTCCGTCCGTCCAGCCCTCTCTTCAACCAGCCCATCCAGTGTTACCACAGATGACCTCACAGGGTAAGGAACCTCTCTGAGGCTCTGTGGCCTTGAACTGGGTCAGCACAAAAATTATCATCACTGTTCCTTAAACTGTTAGGCTGCATTGTTTCAGTACTGAGGACTAAAGTGTAAATGTAAGAGTGGGACACTTGTCAGTTTGTCCCTGGGTAAGACATTTTCACACCCAGAGAGGGACCTGGCTGCTGGTTGTGACTTCTACTGTGTTGCACTGTCAGTTTTGGATATCTGCACTCAGCTATTGAGACATCTCCCTGGGTGTGTTCTGTACTTCCTGTCAGATGGGATCCTAGGGCTGAGTCAGAAGCACATGAGAGCACCCAGTTTCCTTCCACTGGCTCATTCCTGAGATTGCAGTAGAGCTGAGTGTAGGGAGACTAGGCAAGGAAAATAGTTGAGTCTGAAGCATGATGGTATGTAAGGTGCTAGTCCAGACTCACACCAAGAAGCAAGGGTGGATAACAGTGGAAACGTCTCCCTTTATCTTAGCACCTCAGGCATCTGTTTCTGGGCTCCAGGCACCTTCTGCTGCCTTAATGCAAGTTGCATCTCTCGATTCCCACTCAGCTGTATCTGGAAATGCCCAATCCTTTCAGGTAACGTTTTATAACCGTATTAATTATATCCTATAATTTGCCATGGTTCTAGTCAGTCTTTTCTTCTTCGTGTACATTTCATACAGTAGCAGTTCCCCAAAGTCATAGTTCGTCATTTTTTTCCCTTCCTCGGTTACCACTTTCTCATCTCTAAACCAGGCAAAGGATTACCTACGTTCCAGTGTCATAAAGATTAAATGCAAGAACAAGTAGAGCCCCTAGTACAACGTAGTAAAGGTCCAATCAATGTTTGTTTCCTTTTCTTTCTACACATATCCAGTCGAAGGGTGTATATTCACGTTCTTCTGTATTTTCTACCAAAAGTTGGCAGGCTAACATTCTGCAGTAAATTCAGCAGAATGATATGATTTAAAAGCAGAATCGCATGGAAAATGTAACTGGACTCTGCTATGTAGTATACTTTTCTTAAAGAAGGCTTTTTTCCTGTTATCTACAGAAGACAATGGCAGCAGCCTGTTTGCCAGGGGCAGACCCTTTCTTTTGCCTCAACACACTTAGTGGATAACACATATTGTCACTGATAACAGCGGCTCACTCCTTGGTAATGCTTAATGGAGTTGTGGGAGTAATGGTAGCTAGGCTATGCCTCATTAAGATGGGGGAGTCTCAAAACTGGAAAAAGTCCCACTGTTGCCCTCTTTCTCCCCATCCCTCCTCTCCTCCCTGGAGAATTACTGTCCTATAGACTAAGAATTTTTTTTAAGTGGATGGGTAGTTATATCTATCCCCGGAAATGAGCTAGACTTCCTTACTTCAAGGAAGAGTAACCATCCTCGTTAAAATAAAAGCTGCTGTTTATTGAGCGCTTACTATCTGTCAGGCCTGTAACTTACCAGCTTTTCAGAACATTACCTATCTCACTTCATTTAGTCCATACAACAGCCCTATGAAGTGATATTATTATCTTCCTCTTAAAATTGAGGTGACCGAGGTTCAGAGGAACATGAGAGCTCTTGGTCTTGCAGGTTAGCTTCAGAATCTTGCAGGGGAGAGGCATCCTTGGAAATTGGCAGATTTGGTTTGGAATCTCAGTAAGCACTTCTTCCTTGAACTCAATGGAAGCTAAGCAGAGTTTATTAATCTAAAAACTTCTTAGACAATAGACCTGATAGGGGGGAATGAATCCCTACTTAGTTAAATCATCTTACCAGATGACTGGGCAGTGACCCAAGATACACTTTCTTTAGTTTCTGGGTAGAATTTTAGTGACTGGTTTCCCCTGGGTTACATAGATAACTCTCCTGCTGTAGTCCTTACTCACTACCAAACCCAGATCTCAGCCATCTCTAGCATCAGTAAGTTTGAGTCTCCTCCCAGCTCATCCACTTTATTCCACCAAAGAAAAATGTGAACAAAAAAGAAAGACATGAACATTTTATCAAGCAGCGGTAACTCGTCAGTTTCTCAGCCCTATGCAGGTATGCAAGCCTACGCTTATCCCCAGGCATCTGCTGTCACCTCCCAGCTGCAGCCCGTTCGGCCTTTGTACCCAGCACCGCTTTCTCAGCCTCCCCATTTCCAAGGTAGGAAGTAAATCCTTCAGTTTCTCATCTTTGCTCTTGCTGTGCTTTCCCTCTTCTTGCTCCTCTTTTATTTTTACTCCAACAGCTCTCTACTCATTGTTTCTTCTCTTTTTTAACAACTTTGTTGAGATATAATATGTATTCCATACATTCATTCATTTTAAATATACAATTCAAAAGTTTTTTAGTAAATTTGCAGAGTTGTGCATTCATCACTACAATCCTATTTTAGAACATTTCCATCATCCCCCAATATTTCCTTGCATCCGCATTCTGTGTTTTGTTCCTTGAATATTCTCCCCTGGCCCTTGTAATTCCTCTGTTAGAATAGCTAGAGTTTAGAGAAAATAGTAAAAGAGCAAAACATTGGAGGAAATTGGGAGAAAGTTGAATACTATAGGTGTTTAGTATCTCTAATGAAAGCTACTCTGTTAAAATTTTTTAATTATGAAAATAAGAGACTTTTATAAAAAAGTCAAGCAGTACAAAAGGGTGTAAAGTGAAAAGTTACTGTCCTTCCCATCCATAAACCCCCTGGCCTTGGAAAACTGTTGTTAACAGTTACTTGGGTAACTTTTCAGATATTTTTGTATGCATGTACAAGTATGAGTATCTAATGTAAAAAAACCAAACCAAGATAAAGTGTAAACTGCTATGATGGAATCCTGCTTTGTTCTGCTGTTTGTCTTCTGTTTAGTAATCAGCTTTGGTATTAGGACAGTGGTAGGAAGAAGCCAGTATGTCCTGCAACATAATTTGTGGTTCTGGACTGGTCAGGATTTCCTGGATGTAGCCTTTATCTGGAAGCTCTGTCCTTCTCCATCTGGGATATGCTTTTTCATCCATCAAAACTGTCATCTCCCTCTGTGAAGCCTTGCGTGACTATTCTCTGTCCCTCTTTCCTCTCTTCCCACAAACACAACTATGTATGCATGTCAGCAAAGAGTTAATCGTGCTTTTCTTTGTGCTACTTTTATACCTAGTATATGGTTCATTGTTTTGCACTTAATACACTCTCTTGTAATGATTTTTTTACATGTCAGTCTCCCAACAAGACTAAGAGCTCACCAAGGGCAGAAGCTGTGTTTTGTTTACTGCTGTATTCCTTGTACCTGGTACAATGCCTGGCATGCAGTTGGATGAACGGGAAAGCAATCTGAGCTGCCAGTGCTATGGCAGTGCAAAGTGGGCATATTTGTGCCCTTGGACCAGATGTAGTCCTTGATGCGTTTTGCACGAACACAGCTTAGATATTGTTTACTTTGAAGCCCTTTTGCCTCTACTCTCTCTCGTATATCTTCTGACAGGGTGAAGTCACCTATAGCCTTTCCTAGTGTATGGAAGTATTAATTTCTTTCTTTCCTCTACTGGAAGAGCTACTGGCTTTTCTTCATACAGTTTCCTCTGCTCCAGTTTCATAAGTTTCTTTTTGGCTTATATCTGTTTAGGATCAGGTGATATGGCTTCATTTCTCATGACTGAAGCCCGGCAACATAACACTGAAATTCGAATGGCGGTCAGCAAAGTGGCTGATAAAATGGATCATCTCATGACTAAGGTGACTGAGTCAGGGTTGGGGCCATGTTGAAAGTGGGGATGTAAACAGGGAGCAGCCAGAGCTATAGGTAAACTCTTCTTTGGTTTCCTGTATTGGTAGTAGTTAGAGGTTATATCACTTACAAGGACAGTTATAATTATGTTGGGATCCAGTTACTTGCAGAAAACTCTAACTTACAGTTAGAGATTGTCTCAGGAACTCATTAACCCCCTTAACAATGGGGTCAAATCTTGGGTAAATTGTATTTCTTCGTTTTACAACTTCTCACAAGGTCTTTCTGGTATCCCTTTTGTAGGTTGAAGAGTTACAGAAACATAGTGCTGGCAATTCCATACTTATTCCTAGCATGTCAGTTACAATGGAAACAAGCATGATTATGAGCAACATACAGCGAATCATTCAGGTGAGGGTGATTAAGAACAGACCACTCAGGCTGAAGGTCTTACCCTGCTGTCTTCCCAGAGGTACTACCCTTTAACACCTCCACCCCAGAAATAGCCTGTGATAAATGCTACACTGGGTTAGACAATTCGAAAATCCATTATGGCTTAATTCCATCCAAGTGACTTATCACTATATATTCTGAAGGAAACATTGCTTTTTCGACCATACTTCAGAATTTCACTCCTTTTTTTTTAGCCATTTATTCACTCAATCCATTGGACCTAGTGATTTGTATCCATCAGGTATAATCTGATGTGTTGTTTTAACATACATGTAGACATAAGTTCTGGTGTTTTGTCTCAAAATATGTTAACAATGTCACCTGTCAGTTCAAGTTGATTCTCTTCTATCTGGCACTTTTCTCTTAAGACACTTAAATTGTACGTCATATATTTTGAATTTAGGAAAATGAAAGATTGAAGCAAGAAATCCTTGAAAAGAGCAATCGGATAGAAGAACAGAATGACAAGATTAGTGAACTAATTGAACGAAATCAGAGGTAATGACAGGTACGGGGCCTGGCTAGGATGGACAAAAGGGTTTATTGTGTATATGCCCAGCTTAAGTACACGTATTTGTTTAGGGCAGTACGTGTGTATTTCTGCCATTTCTGTTTCCTGCCTGTTATGTGAATTATTGCCTGTTTTCTGAGAGGCATTGCAGTAGAAGGAGCTCAGTAGGCTGTGATGTAGGGCAGACCTGTGTTTGATTCCTGCTCTGACCCTCATTCATTTTGTGGCTCTGGGCATGTTATTGATTCCTGCTGGCCCTAGTTTCTTTATCTTTAAAACTGGTACTATTTATTACTTACAGAACTCTGGTGTCAACTCTTCTCTCTCCTGTGTGGGTTAACTCGGTTTTATCCACCAGAACTCAGATAAAACTTCACTGATTCCCATATAAAACCTAAAGATTTTGTATTTTTTGTAGATACTTCTGAAGATTTGGAGGGATGTGTGGGGAGGGTGAATGGAACACATCACAACACAGCATTTCACTTAAAAAACATCATTCTCCCATATTTCTCTTCTCCGCTGTCTCTTGTCTCCCACATGACAGAGCTGGGGGAGTGGCTTTCTCTTCTTCCCTCTTTCTTATAGCCTCTTTACTCCTGTCTCTTCCTCCTCATTCCCATTATCACACACCCTTCACGTTATTGTCCTCTCCATTATTCAGGGTAGTTCACTGCTGGCCCAGATTCCTGCTTCCAACCTGATTTCTTTAGATCTCAGTACTTCAGGTCTAAGGAAAAGAAAATGCTTTCAGATAGCTTTTGATGAAGGTATAGAGCAGCAATGTTATGAGGACAGAATGGGCATTGGGTTGTGCTCAGTGCTTGATAAGTGTTTGTTTTCTTTTTCCCTATTTCTTTCACAGGTATGTTGAGCAGAGTAACCTGATGATGGAGAAGAGGAACAACTCACTTCAGACAGCCACAGAAAACACACAGGCAAGAGTATTGCATGCTGAACAAGAGAAGGTAAAGCAATTGGGGAGAGAAAAGCCCAGGTCAGGATGGGTGGAGCTAAGGAATGCCCCGTGTACGTACTCACTAGTCGGCTTTCCAACAGAATTTTTGCCATCACTGCAAAAAGAACTAGAAATCTCCCAGCAGGTTTTCATGTATCCATCATCTACATTTCTGTTTTACAATATACTTCGCAGTATGGTGACTCAAACAAATCACTGATCTTAGTAATTTGATTAGGTAAGAATTACACAGCTTATTGGAAACTAAATTTATTCTGTTGACAAAATCAACAGAAAATTTCCATTATGCCAGGTAACAGATGTTTAGGTTCTTTTTAGTGGAATTCCAGATCGTTTGCTCCTTCATCTGTGTTTGCCAAAGCATTTTAAAGTACTACTATTTGACTTCAATCCTTTCAAAACTAGGAATTTTGACCTGTTCCTGCAGTAGCGGTAAGGAAGACTAGTGGGTCTTGGGTTGGGATCTGCTGATTCTGAAACTCGCTTCCCCTGTTGCTCCAGTGACGTTCTTTATCCTGAATGGATTCCTTCTTGTTTGGGCTACCACTCATCAGCTAGGAGATCCTGACTTTTTCATCTGCTGTCTTTCTTCTCAGAGGTTTAGAAATCATTTATATTTTATATTAGTGTTTTCCTTGATGAAAACTTAGATTGAACACACTTGTAACTTGTGGAGTTTACTCACTTTCTCATATTCTGGTAATGAGGATTCCTTACTATGTCTTACGCTAATCTTTGTCTTCTCTTAGCCATAGAATCCAGGCAAGTAATGTGTGACCTCTTTTTCTCAGATGAGCAGTGCCTTATCCTGCACAGCCCTGTCCAATCCTGACCCTGTTCTGTTCCCATTACTTTATACCATTTCTTATTTATGTGACTGACTCCTAATGCCTAGGTGAAGATCAGCAGCTTGTGACATTGTTATCATTAGGTAGTGCTGAAGTCACTTAACCGCTCCCCATCCACTAAATGCACTTTTTACTATTTCTCCTTCTTTTACTTTTATTTCTTCTCTTCCTTTCCTTTACTCCTTTTGTTTGCTTGTTTGTTTTTTCTTTAGGCCTATACGGGGCATCTAAATATATTATTTGGCCTCACTGTTACTATTCAGGGCTAAAATGATTACTGTAACTTATTCCAGATCAGTGGTCCGCAAACACTGGCTGCCTCAGACTCACTTGGGGTGCTTGATTAAAACTAGATATTCTTAAATCCCGAACCTCCAGAGATTCTAATTTAGTATATCTAGCTGGGATCTGAATCTGAACTTTTAAAAAGATCCTATAGATTCCAGGTGCAGGAATTACTGCTCTTGTCAGTGATTTCTTTTGTCATAATCTCTGGAGGGGCAGCATTTTTAAGAAGTTCAGCATGTGATTCTCCTGTTGAGAAGCACTGTTTTGTGTGTGTATGTGTTCCAATAAAACTGTATTTACAAAAATAATAGGTCAGTTTGGCTCATAGGTCATAGTTTGCCAGCCCCTGAATTAGCTCAGTGATCTACCCAAATGTTTTCGTGTTGATAAACCCCAGAGATGTCTGATACCAGGCATTGAGCCCAGTAGATGCTCTATTTATAATAGCAAAGCAGTAGAAGTAATAACAACAATAGTAATCACAGCTAGTATCTGCCACGACCCACTGTGTTATAGATACCATGCTTCACACAAATTTTTGAGGGAATCTCGTGATAAATGTGACTGGGATGCCAAGTACTATATGTTTTAATTGATCATCTTTATTTCAGTGAAACTTTTTGAGCCCTGACTCTCCCCTCTTTTTCTTTTGATCCACTTCTCACTTAACAGTTTTCCTGTGATCTCTCCTTTTAAAGGGAGATGGGCAAGGTCCTTTCATCCCTGGAGGCAATTTTCTGCCTTCAGACACAGCTCAGAAAGGTATGGTTAAGGGCTCAATGAATATTTGGTGAATGAAATTATTTTTCATTGTGATATAGTACCACAAAAAATTGTGGAATAATGGCTAAAACTGGAAGAGCTATTAGAGGTCACCTTTTTAGTTTAACCTTTTTATTTTAGAGGGACAAACCAAGACTCAGAAATGAAAGAGTAAAAGACCTGCATAGGACCCCATTTCCATTCAGCTATATTTCTTTTCCTGTGTCAAATTACTATCTCTCTTGAGTACTGTTTTCCTGCTTTTACCTTGCAAGCTTTATTCACTGTTTTTCTGAACTCTTGGTTCTTCCTGTCATTGCTTTCTTTTTCTCACTCTCCATGTCAGCAGTAGAATTTGATCCACGGTAGGAACCAGGGAGCCATCTCATCCACTGTGTAGATTTTTTTGTGTTTTCCCTTCTCACTTGATTATACCCTAACCTTAAAAAGAAATTATAAATACACCTATGCACACACACACACACACACACACACACACACACACACACACATTTTTTTCTGATCATAAAAGTTGCATCTGTTCAGTCTGGAAAATTTACAAATACAGATAAGCAAACATAAAATATAAATCCTTCCACTCAAAAATAATGATATCCATTCCCTTATTTTCTGTGTACATGTGCATTTGGGGGATAGCATTAATTTTTATGCTTCTGATAGGCCTTTCTAGCTAAAGACCTGAGATAAAAAGAGCTTTTGGGTGATTTTCCACTCTGCTTAACCTTTAGCAAGAGAGTGACCCTCCATTTCATTGGCGTGCCTTTGGAATTTTTCCCTTCCAGTGTTTTAGCTGCTGCAAGTGCTTGTGAGAGAGGTGCATGTTTTGTTATTAGTGAACTCTCTGAGCTATGAGTAGATGCAAAGTTCTCTGAGCTCTGAGTGAGTTTTGTTTTCATTAGGCCATTTGAAGCAGGACAGTGAGTAGATGAAAGCCACTCCTATATCTAGAAGTTCTAGATTTCATTGTCATCTGTGTTTAGGAGGTGAAAACCTAAGGCTACTGAATAGCAAAAATAAATATCTTAAAGCTTAGTCTAAAGGTTACATATACTCTCAGATACTCATTTATAGCCTATTTATTTTTATTTATTTTTTAAAGTGAAAGCAAGTTTATTAAGGAATAAAAGAATGGTTACCCCATAGGCAGAGCACCCGCATGTTATTTTTATTTTATATACAATTTTATGTTCTTGTTTTACTTATTTATTTATTTATTTTTCTTTTGAGACAGAGTCTTGCTTTGTTGCCCAGGCAGGAGTGTGATCTCAGCTCACTGCAACCTCTGCCTCCTGGGTTCAAGTGATTCTGCTGCCTCAGCCTCTGGAGTAGCTGGGATTACAGGTGCCCACCACCACGCCTGGCTAATTTTTGTAATTTTAGTAGAGACCGGGTTTCACCACGTTGCCAGGCTGGTGTCAAACTCCTGACCTCATGATCTGCCTGTCTTGGCCTCCCAAAGTGCTGGGATTATAGGCGCGAGCCACCGTGCCCGGCCTTTATTTTCTTTTTTTAGGAGAGTCAAAATATCAGATTTTAAATGTAATCTATAAAACTGATAAAGACTTTGGAATAAGGCAAGGAATAAATATATTTAAAACAAGTGGGTACAGTGAACACAATAAGAAGAGACAAACGATAATAAGGAAATAGACAACTGTAAAAATGTATGTAAGGTGTAATAGAGCCAGGCATAGTAGCTTGCACCTGTAATCCCAGCTACTCCAGAGGCTGAGTGGGGAGGATTGCTTGAGCCCAGGAGCTTGAGGCTACAGTGAGCTATGATCATGTCATTGCACTCTAGCCTGGATGACTGAGCGAGACCCTATCTCTAAAAAAAAAAAAGTTTTTAAGTATACTTGTATAGGTATAATAGTATAGGAGTTGCAATAATAGTAGTAATATAATCGTATAGGAGAGATGGTCCACCCCCATAATTTGAATTTGGTTTAATACAAATTGAAGGCAGCCGTAACTCCCTGTTTACTAGTTCAGTCTACATAGAGTTATGTGAGGTTGGTTCATTACTTGCATGAAGAACACCTATGTTTAAAGTGACATCATACTTTGTTATTATTCAGGCCAAAGTGACAGAGGAGTTAGCAGCGGCCACTGCACAAGTCTCTCATCTACAGCTGAAAATGACTGCTCACCAAAAAAAGGAAACAGAGCTGCAGATGCAACTGACAGAAAGCCTGAAGGAGACGGATCTTCTCAGGGGCCAGCTCACCAAAGTGCAGGCAAAGCTCTCAGGTATGTGCTAGGTTGGGGATACTGGGATTGTTGCCATTTAAACTCAAGGAATTAAGCTGTTTTCTTCCTCTCAATCTTTTTGGCACAATGCTTATGAAGTTTTTGAAGGACTGCACCAAAAATTAAAGGAGACTAGTATAAAATCTACATGATTATTTTACAGAAGGAACAATAAAAGAACTGACTATTCATGTGGAATTCATCAGTGCCACAGTTCCCTTTTGTTTGGGGAGGTGTTGGCTTCAAAATCTTTGGTACCTATGATTGGCTTCAAATACCTGGAAGAGTTATTGTGTTGTTCTAACTCATGACTCAGTGGAAGTTTAAAAAAGAGATGCTTCCTAGTGTGGTTTCTTCTTTCCTAGAGGATGGATTGCAGCTCTTCAGCCTGACACTCAAGGCCCCTCCTGCTTGGCTTGTCTCCCATTATATTGTTCAGTTCATCTGGCCCTGACCATACCAGCAAGCCTGCTGGCTGCTCTTCAGCTCATCCTGTAGTTCTTGTCTTGCTTCTTATCCATGCTATTCTCTGGACTTGACATGCCTACCGTTACCAATATTCACCTTCAGTCCTCTTCAAAGTCTGCCTCTTTCAGAAGCTTTCCTAGTTTTCTCTAGAACATTTGATCCTTTAAAAAAAAATCCTTTATCTCTTAGTGCATTATTATAACCCTTATCATAGTTTGATAAGCATGGTGTTTTGCTTATCTTTGTGAAGTCCTCTCCTCCATATTAGTGTTCAGTGCCTGGCAAGACATGGTGATTGGATAGAAGATTGGTGAAGACCAGCAGGTTAATTAATCTACCGTGGTGTATAGAAACAAATATGGAAGGCAGAGATGGGACTAATGGGCAGAGGGTAGCTGGAGCCGCAGCAGAGTTGGGTGGAAGCAAAGTTCATTTGCCTAATAGAAAACTAAAAAACAATGATGTCAATGGATAAGGTGCTACCTTGAAGATACATCCCTTCCCTTTTATTTTTTTCTTAAATTTTTTATATTTTGTAGAGACAGAAGTCTCACTATATTGACCAGGCTGGTTGTGAACTCTTGACCTCAAGCCATCCTTCCGCCCTGTTCCTCCAAAGTGTTGGAATTAACAGGCATGGGCCACTGCTCCCAGCCCATCTCTTGCCTTTTAGAGCATGACTGGGCCCACATGAGGCAAACATGTTAGACAGTCTTAGATTTGAATATTGTTCAGATGTCTCCTTTCTGCTTTTGTGGTGCCTTATGACAATTACCTCAAGAGCCATAAGAGTCTCAAAAGTTTCCCAAACAAATTTTATTTATTGCAAAGAGCTTTATTTGAGAAGGGATGTTTTGAAAGCAAATTCTTGGTAGAATGCCCCAGCTACCAAGAAAGTTGAGACTATCTTACTCAAGCAGTGAGAAAGAACCCAGACTAATACTAAACAGTGATCGGTCCAGTGTGTTAAGATGGTGGCCAAAATGGAATTGTGGAGTGATCTGTTTCAAAGGTCATTTCTGACTGCTGGGGACATTTCTTTCCCATTTTGTATGTGGAGAAGGTGACATGTACACACAGAGATGACTTTCTATGGGATAAATATGGGTTGATGGAGGAGTCAGCTGACAGCTTGACATATCTTATTGCTGGTCAGTGAGGTGATGTTGAAAGAAGTGAGCAGAGGCTGCTTGTGTAGTAGGACTGGGAAATCAAGGCATGCAACTTTGAAAGAGCCACTGGGGCCAGGCACAGGGGTTCACGCCTGTAATCCTAGCACCCTGGGAGGCTGAGGTGGGAGGATTGCCTGAGCCCAGGAGATGGAGGCTATAGTGAGCCATCATACCACTGCACTCCAGTCTGAGTGATGGAGCAAGACTCTGTCTCCAAAAAATAATTTAAAAAAAGAACTGCTGGGATAACACACAGCGCACTACAGCACTGGTTCTGTAGCCAAGTCTCTCTGCTTCTGTATCCCAGAGCTCCAAGAAACCTCTGAGCAAGCACAGTCCAAATTCAAAAGTGAAAAGCAGAGCCGGAAACAACTGGAACTCAAGGTGACATCCCTGGAGGAGGAACTGACTGACCTTAGAGCTGAGAAGGAGTCCTTGGAAAAGGTAAGCTCTACAACCCAGTTGGCCAGAATTAGCTGTTTAATAAACATTTTAATTTTCCTTTTACAAATTACAATAGTATGTGCTTATTGTAACAAATACAAATAATATAGAAAAGTGTAAAATTAAAAAAAAATTTTCCCCTCTCTAATCTCATACATTAGAGGTGACAATTATAAAGTATATGATCCTTCCAGATTGTTTTCTGTATGTAGAAAACATACATTCACACTCACACACACATACATGTATGTATACTGACTTTTTTTACATCACATTTCATGCTTTTTAGGAAAATATCATGGCCTTGTACTACATAAGATCTTTCTCATAGTTAACTGCTGCATAGTAGCCAACTGTGAGGCTGTACCATAATTTATTTAATTATTCGGATGGATATTTATGTTTTTATTTTTTCATTATTTTAAACATTGCTTCTATGGACATTCTCATATAACTGTTTTTGCAAATTTGTTTCAGCATTTGTATAAGATGGATTGCATGAGTAAGAATCATGGGATCAAAGGGAAGGCTACATATTTGAATTTTTATAAATATTACCAGATTATCCTCAAAGAATAGTGCTTACACTTTCAGCACTATGTGAGTGAGCCCATTTGTCACATTCTTCCCCGTTCTACATATATCACTTTTTCTAATCTTCATTAGTCTGACAGGTGAAATATGTTATCTTGTTTTAATGTGTATTTTTATTAGTAGTAAAGCTTTCATATATTTAATACCTATTTATATTTCTTAGGTATCTCTTTTTAGTGTCCTTTATCCTATTATTAGTTTGATTTGTGAACCCTTTTAAGGGTATCAATCCTTTGCCAGTCATAGATGTTGTAAATATTTTTCTAGTTTGCTGTCTTTTCACTTTATTTGTAGTATATTTTGTGGGTTAAAATTTTAATATCAGGAAAGACTAAGTGAACAAAGTGAGGACATTTCTATCTTTTTGTATGTTCTGGAATAGTTGAAATATGAAAAGAATAAACTGCTCCTGAGGCTTCAGTAATCGCATTAGTAAAACTGTTTTGGCCCAGTGCCTTTTAAGAGGGTAAATCTTGGTCTGCAATTACATTTTTTTTTCTAGGATTTTTTTCTATTTTATTTATTTATTTTTAACCAATTCCTTCTAACCTCTTGGCTGTTTTCAGTTTGTCATTACTTTAGATACTACTATAGTGACCATCCTTGTAACACACTCTTTGTGACTGTGACTTATTGAATCCTTAATTACAATTTGTGGAATTTCTGGATATGTATGTTTTTAAAGGCTTTTCAGAGGATTACTATCCAAAGAGAGTATATCTATTCATTTTCTTACTATCAGGGTATGAGAATGTCTGATTTCCTGTACCCTCATTAAAGTTAGGATGTTCCCTAGCTCTTAATAGAGGGGTAAAGTTCTTCTTGTCTTCCTTCTCCTGTCACCATTTTCCTCACCCAGTAGCTAAGAATGTTAAATATTTAGGGGAAAATTAAACTAAAAAATGAAGTTTCCAGAAATGGAGTAAGGATCCCACAAGGTAATTAACTGCCACCGCCATCATCCCTTTTGATTCTCCGTTAACAAGCTAGAGCTGATGATGGTTCTCCTGTTCCTAAGAACCTCTCAGAAAGGAAAAAGAAGTCAGCTCAAGAGCGTTCTCAGGCCGAGGAGGAGATAGATGAAATTCGCAAGTCATACCAGGAAGAATTGGACAAACTTCGACAGCTCTTGAAAAAGACTCGAGTGTCCACTGACCAAGCAGCTGCAGAACAGGTAATGGGAAACTGAAGCACTTTGGAAATAGAGGGAAGGTGTGAAGGATTCAGAGAGAAAAGCTTCTAGTTTCTTCCTTACCCTTTTAGGATGACATTTCTCATAGCTGATACTCTCACTTTGGAGAAAGGTAGATAAAGTAATCCAGATATATGCCAGACAGCCAGGAATCGAATGGAGAATCTTCTTTCTTTTTTTAAAGCTTAGTTAATATTTAATTACATAAGTAAAAATGAAAAATACTTTCCTTACAAAAAAACTCCAAACATGATAAGGCCAAAGCCATCAACCATCACACACCATCCTTCAGGCACATTATCATCCTTGAAAGGAAGGGATTTATTTAGGTCATCAGGAAGGGAACCAGGGATAGTGGCAGGGCACAGCTGGATCTCTAGTCTGTGCAACAGCAACCTTTCTCATTGTAAGTTTAAAATTTATATGCATATGTTTGTTTAATTAGAGTTCATTGGTGTCCTCGGTTTGACCACCTCTGGGAATTTTGGTGAAAAAAAGTTTCTGAACCTATAAAATTTAGGGTTCAGACCCTGAAAAGCAATGATCACATGACCCTGCCCTCCAGGAACCTATCTAAATAGGCACACTTTTGTCTGCTTGGAGTACCTTTTGGAGTCCTGACAACCAATGACATCTTAAGAAGTGCATTTACTTTAAAAGTAATGAGAGTCTTTTAAACAGTTTCCCAGTTAAATCTGGGCTGTTAGCTTATTCTTTTGCTTTTTGAAAGATGGGCTTCCCTAGGTGCAATGGAATCTCACTCCCCTGCCCCCAAGGATGGTATGGTCATTACTTTCCCTTGGCAGCTGTCTTTAGTACAGGCTGAGCTACAGACCCAGTGGGAAGCAAAATGTGAACACTTGTTGGCCTCCGCCAAGGATGAGCACCTGCAGCAGTACCAGGAGGTGTGCGCACAGAGAGACGCCTATCAGCAGAAGCTGGTACAACTTCAGGAAAAGGTACATATTTTTCTTGAGCCAAACAGTTTAGGCAGCCCAGTTAATTTGAGGCAAGCAGGCTGTTTGAGTCCTGTTGATCCTTCTAAGCCTAAAAGTTATTAATAGCTAGAAGACAAAACCACACTTGTTTAGCTTGTCAGTTATCTTTTACATACTTATTTGGGGTGATAGGTCAGTGACCTGGAAAAAGAGAGAACAGCACCAGTGTTCTGGAACATGTTTTCCATTATTAATGGATCCTTCATTTATTAAACAAATATTTATTGAGAGTCAGTTGTATTCCATCCACTGTGTTAAAGAAAGTGCATACAAGGAACCTGTCCCTCACGTATCTCACAGTCAAGAAAGGGAGACAAAGAAACAAAGATAGGCATTAAGTGCTGTGGGGCCCAGAAGAGGAAGTACCCAGGAGAGCTGGGAAGGTTTCCCAAAGGAGGTGACATTTGAGCAGAGCCAAGAAGGACAAATAGCTTTGGTAAGGCAGCAAAGGAGGCAGAACATCTTGGGCAAAGGCACTGAGATAAGTTGGAGGCTGGGGTGTGGTGGGATCATCAGGCCTGAAAAAGAAAGAGATGGGACATGGCTTAGGGTCATGGTATGAAAGTCCATATTCGAGGTCAGTTTCTTTCCCTAAAGTGTCCAATTGAAAACTTTTGGCTCAGAGATCTTGGAGGCAATCTTGCAGACAAATGGGTTGCTGTTAATGCTGAATGTTTATGTCTAAATGACTAGAGTTATTACCTACCCTCCTGCTCTTTTTTCATTATATTTTTGACCTGATTAAGAACAAGGCAAGCGACTTTCTTGGGAAAGAGAAAGTCAAGTTTTGAGTTGAAATTGAGTGATGAGGAGATAGAATTCTCTGAGGCAGAGGGCCTTGGGTGGGGGCTGAGGGAGTGGACACCAACAGACCTAGGTGAGCTTAAGACTTGATGTTTAGAGATGCCGGAGAGGATGTGGAGAAATAGGAATGCTTTTACACTGTTGGTAGGAGCGTAAATTAGTTCAACCATTGTGGAAGACAGTGTGGTGATTCCTCAAGGATCTAGAACTAGAATTACCATTTGACCCAGCCATCTCATTACTGATTATATACCCAAAGGATTATAAATCATGCTACTATAAAGACACATGCACACATATGTTTATTGCGGCAGTATTCACAATAGCAAAGACTTAGAACCAACCCAAATGTCCATCAATGATAGACTGGATTAAGAAAATGTGGCACATATACACCATGGAATGCTATGCAGCCATAAAAAAGGATGAGTTCATGTCCTTTGCAGGGACATGGATGAAGCTGGAAACCATCATTCCCAGCAAACTATCAAAAGGACAGAAAACCAAACACTGCATGTTCTCACTCATAGTTGGGAGTTGATCAATGAGAATACTTGGACACAGGGCGGGGAACATCACACACCAGGGCCTGCCAGAGGGTGGGGGACTGAGGGAGGGATAGCATTAGGAGATAGACCTAATATAAATGATGAGTTGATGGGTGCAGCAAACCAACATTGCACATGTATACCTATGTATCAAACCTGCACGTTGTGCACATGTACTCTAGAACTTAAAGTATAATGATAAGAAGAAAAGAATCTGAAATAAAATTGTCTTTTTATTATATGCAAAAAAAAAAAAAAAAAAAGAGAGAGAGACTTGATGTTTAGGGTGGTTCTCCTCCCCTTGGGTTTTCTGACCTTCACCTGGTAATCCAGGTTCCTGAGGCCACAGCCACAGTCTGTTTGTTTTGCAGTGTTTGGCCCTCCAGGCCCAAATCACAGCTCTCACCAAGCAAAATGAACAGCACATCAAGGAACTAGAGAAGAACAAGTCCCAGATGTCTGGGGTTGAAGCTGCTGCATCTGACCCTTCGGAGAAGGTGAGCTGGTATTTCAAAGGAGAAGCATTCAGAAAGAACATGGCCAGTATGTTGTGTTAGTAGCTCTTTTTCTAACTTTAGTGATGTTTTATTTGTCTGATGACTTTAAAATGAACCAGATTTGGTGTTTGCTTGTGTTTGAGACGGAGTCTCGCTTTTTCGCCAGGCTAGAGTGCAGTGGCGCGATCTTGGCTCACTGCAACCTCTGCCTCCCAGGTTCAAGCGATTCTCCTGCCGCAGCCTCCTGAGTAGCTGGGACTACAGGCATGCGCCACCACACCCAGCTAATTTTTATATTTTTAGTAGAGACGGGGTTTCACCATGTTGGCCAGGATGGTCTCAATCTCTTGACCTTGTGATCCGCCTGCCTCAGCCTCCCAGAGTGCTGGGATTACAGGTGTGAGCTACCGTGCACGGCCCAGATTTGGTTTCTTGAGTTTAAGGAGCTTACAGTCTAGTGGGGAAAACAAATACATACTTATATATTAAATGGCAAACCCAAAAGAACCCTATCTTTCTGAGGTTTTGACAGGTATAGGAAGGGCCTCTAACCACAGGAGAGAATGGGACTTGGGGCGTGTGCCCAGCATCCACTGGCCTCTGACCCTTAGAGCCTATGGCAGCTCCTAGTGGTGCTCACAGTGGGAGGGGGACATTAAGCAATGGTCTTTAAGCAGTCCTGGGCACACGGGCCACAGCCTGCCTGCGCTTGATAGGTAACTCTCATGACTAGCCCTTCTGTCAAAATGCTGCTCATTATTTAATATCATCCTCTCCACAGTGACAGACTTCAGTGTCTCTGCTTATGACCAGCGGTATCCGTGTAGAGATCTAAGATGGCTTCATTTTGGCCTTCCAAACACCTCTCTGGGATTTAATGCATCCTTTAGTGACTTGATTTTGGCAGCATGTGTTTTGATGTTCACACAGGTCAAGAAGATCATGAACCAGGTGTTCCAGTCCTTACGTAGAGAGTTTGAGCTGGAGGAATCTTACAATGGCAGGACCATTCTGGGAACCATCATGAATACGATCAAGGTACAGCCAGCCAGCTGTCGATTGTTTCATCGGAAAGGGCGTTTTGTTGCTTAAGTACTTGCTAAGGGATCATGAATAAAATAATTGTTCAAGGAAGGCACAGTGGCTCATGCTTGTAATCCCAGCACTTTGGGAGGCAAAGGTGGGAGGACTGCTTGAGGCCAGGAACTCGAGACCAGGTTGGGCAACATAATGAGACTTTGTCTCTACTAAAATTAAAAAATTAGCCGGGTATGGTGGCATGTGCCTGTAGTCCCAGCTACTTGGGAGGCTGAGGCTGGAGGATCACTTGAGCCCAGAAGTTCAAGACTATAGTGAGCCATGATTACCCCCGACTGCACTTCAGCCTGGATAACAGAGCAAGACCCTGTCTCCAAAGAAAAAAAAAAGAAAATTATTCAGGACTGTTCCTCAGTAATTAGGATTCCTGGAGTGACTTGACAGATACAGTCAGCCTCTTTTAACAGAAAAGAAGCAAAGTCATTTAAACTAGATGACCAGTAGTGTTAATAAGAATTAGTAGTGGCTACTGTGTTCCTTTCAGTGATCATCTCCTCCTTGGCTTTTGAACAGATGGTGACTCTTCAGTTGTTAAACCAACAGGAGCAAGAGAAGGAAGAGAGCAGCAGTGAAGAAGAAGAAGAAAAAGCAGAAGAGCAGCCACGGAGACCTTCCCAGGAGCAGTCAGCCTCAGCCAGTTCTGGGCAGCCTCAAGCACCCCTGAATAGGGAGAGGCCAGAATCCCCCGTGGTGCCTTCAGAGCAAGTGGTTGAGGAAGCTGTCCCGTTGCCTCCTCAGGCCCTCACCACTTCTGAGGATGATGTACACAGAAGGAAAGGGGACTCAGAAGCAGAGGCACTCTCAGAAATAAAAGATGGTTCCCTTCCACCCGAACTGTCTTGCATCCCATCCCACAGAGTTCTGGGGCCCCCGACTTCAATTCCACCTGAGCCCCCAGGCCCTGGAACCATGGACTCTGAGTGTGAGGAGTCACTTGCTCCCAGCCCAATGGCAGCTAAGCCCAACAACTCACCAGGAAAGGTCTGTGTCAGAGAAGTAGCACCAGATGGCCCACTACAAGAAAGCGCCACAAGACTGTCCCTGACTTCAGACCCCGAGAAGGGGGACCCACTGGCCTTAGGGCCTGAAAGCCCAGGAGAGCCTCAGCCTCCACAGCTCAAGAAAGATGATGTCACTAGCTCCACTGGTCCCCACGAGGAGCTGTTGAGCACAGAGGCAGATTCCACAGTTGCAGGAGCAGCCCTCAGATCCAGCCATCATTCCCAGCATTCCAGGTATGTTCCTCTGAGCACTGCTTCAGGGACAGGGTGGCTATCTGTGGTGAGGAGTGTCTCTGTTTTTTCCAAGGCTGGCAACTCATCCCTCAGAGACTAATTTACTGATGTCTTCATTCATTAGTTGATGTATTAATTCAGCAACACCTACCACGTAGAAGACTCTGTGGTAGGCACTATGATAATGTGGTGGGCACTGCGATAGTGCGGCGGGCGCTGCGATAGTGTGGCAGGCGCTGCGGTAGTGTGGCGAGAGCTGCCGTAGTGTGGTAGGCAAGGCAGGTTTGGTTCTTGAGTTTAAGGAGTGACAGTCAAGTGGAGAAAACAAACAAATACATACTTATATATTATAAAAGTATAGTAAGTCCTTTTAAAAAAGAAACAGGGCACTATTCTAAAGGAGTTGTTCCACTTTAGATAGGGTGGCTAGGGAAGGATTCTGAGAAGGTCACATTGAAAAGATGACTCTCGCTGTAGGTTCTGAAGGGGGCCACTGTAGGGTGTGGGAAGAGATGGTGGCAGCAGAGGTGGGAGGAATTCCTGGGCAGTCACCAACGCTGTTGAATCCTTACCCAAGGGCCGGTGACCCTTGTAGGTGGTGGGCAGTGTGACCTGGAGCAGGAACAGTAACATTTTCTATGACTTGATTCTCCTTCAGTCTCTCTCGGGATGAAGAGGATGAACTGTCTAAATGGGCAGCTCTGAAAGCTCTGAGGCCCAAAGCACAGCCTGAGGAGGAAGATGAAGACGAGGTGGTAAGGAAATCCCAGGCACTGTCAAGTCCTCACACAGCCACCTGGGGGCTCTTCCCCACTGGCTGTGAGAAGAGAAATGGAGCCTGTTGGTGGCCCACTCCCTGGGCTCTGTGTGCAGGGCCCTGTGGGAGCAGGCTTGGGGCTGGGCTGGGAGGGCGCAGCTCTGTAAGCAGATTAGGGGACAGTCACATACCACTTTACTTTTGAGAAAGAATCATAGTCTCTTTCCATGCAGGAATTCGTTCCCTGAGAGCAAGAAAGCTGAGCTGCTTAGTCCCATATTGGAATGCTGAAGCCTTAGGTTTCCCCAAATCTGCTGGGATATTATTTATATTTTAGAATTGGAAAGGACTTTGAAGATCATCTTGCCTGGCATCCTTATTCATAGATAAAGAACCTGAGGCTCAAAAGGATGATTTACCCAAAGCCACAGAGTGAGTTAATGGCAAAGCTAGGACTAACCCCCAGGCTCCTGTAAAGACTGCCTGTTCCTGAGCATTTTCCACTTAGCCCGCTTTCCTCCTGCCTTGTTTTGTCGTCACAATATCCCTGGGCACAAAATGGGTTCAGTATTAATAGCATAGCTTCATTTAACAGAGAACAAGAGTGAAGGCCAGGAGAGGAGGGCACTGATAGGGACTGAATTAGAACCCCACTTCTCGCATCTGCAGTTCCCTACTGTGCTCGGTTACAACCGTTCTGGCTGTCCCTAGACCATTCTGACGGCTCTGAAATGCATATGGAGAACACAGGTGGGCTTCAGGCTCAGTCCATCCAAAGGACAGAAATATGAGAGTGAATGGGGCAAATTTTGTCCCCTCATGTATCAGCCAGAGTGGATTTTGCCTTTTGCCAAAACCTTGAGCAGAGAGCTGTGATAGATCTGGACTCCAGCTTGTATGTACCAGAGCCCTTCCCTCTTGCCTGTGTTCCTTTGGGGAATGTACCAGTTCCTTCCATTAGCCTTTCTTCCCAAGAGTTAAATTTTCATTTGAGAATCCAGAATACCAATTCTGCCCTAAAACAAAAGGAAAAAAGGGGGGAAAACCCAACTGAGTATATTCTAAGTGACTGCCCTAAATATAGTTGGAAGCTTTTGATTAGCGAGTATATTATTGGTATTAGTACCAATACTGTCAAGTTAACATGTATTTCTTGGCTACTCTGAAAACGACTTCACAAATGTTCTCATTTAATCTTCTACCAATCCAATGAGTTAGGTACTTTTATCCCATTTTATAGATCAGAGGGCTGAGGCTCAGGAAGATTAAATAATTTAACTAAGCTAATATAACTAGTAAATGTGGAGCCAGAACTTTAGTCAGGACAAAACAGAAGCTGTGAGCCACACTTGAAAATCCTATATTGTCAGAGTTAGAGATCACTTCATTGATGTCCGGAGAGAAGTACGAGGTCTGGTTAATTGGTAGTGACATGGGAATTGCCCAGAGACTTGTGTACACATCACACTGCCTTCCCTTTTGCCTGGCCCTGTGAAGATGGATCCTGGTTGGCAGTAGCTCACCAGAGCAGAGAATGCCTTAGTAGAGACTATTCGGTTCGTGCCTGTCTCTAGCATCAATCCCTTGTAGCCGGGTAGGTCCTGTTCCCTTGCCAATCCAGAGGAGAAAGGTCAGGAGCTCAAGTTGTGAAAAGAGTGGGTCTCTTATGGCCCATCAGTCCCTTTCAACCCCACTACCTTAGCTGGGAGGAGCAAGGGTAGTGCCAGTCAGGCTAGAGGTGTGGGAGACTGTGGCTCCATGTTCTTCACCTCTTAGGATTCTCCAGTTGGCCAAGCCTCCACGTTCAACTCTTTTTCAAATGATGAGATCACACCCAGAGCCAGTCAGGCCACCTTAGGCCACAACAACAGTGTTTTTTCATATGTGGTTGTCTTCTTCCCAACCTCCCTACTTCCCACTTCCTCTCGCTCTCTCAGGGCTGCTTTGCTTCTGTTTCTTTCTCCTGCTCCAGTGTTTCCTCTTTGACCCTTCTTTCTTCACACAAAATATGTAAGTTACTGCATGAGAGGAAAACCTGTCAAATCAATACATGTGCTTCACAAATAAATGACAAGATCAGCCAAACAAAGTTCGTCTTTTGTCTCTGTTGAAAAGATTGCCTCCCTTCTCTACCTGCTTGTCTCAGCTTTATCTGAAAGCCTAGGTTTGCTGGCCTCAGAGTTGGCCCTGTCAGTACAACCTCCTTTCTGAACCAGAGCTGGGAACAGAAGTTGGATTGCTTCCACTCACAGGTGGAAAGTTGAGTGGTGCAGGGACAAGTGAGGACTGACTGCTCTTTCCTGTTTTATCAGAGCATGAAGGGACGCCCACCCCCAACACCCCTTTTTGGAGATGATGATGATGACGATGACATTGACTGGCTGGGATGAAGACCCAGGAAACTGGTGCAAAGGTTTCTCTGCAACCCTTCCCTAAGCATGATTTTGCACAGCCAGCCCTGGGTCTAGGTGAGCCACAGGGTGAGGTCAAGGTGAGCATTCTGGGAACAATAGTTTAGGCTCAGACGGTGGCTCGGCCACCTTCTGAGCCCCACCCCCACCAGACCTGGTGAAGAGGATCATAACCATCTTCAAAAACACTGGATTTTCAGCAGCAAGTTGGAAGAAGGACTGGTAGATTCCCCTCCAGCCAGTCACCTGTAAGAGTCTTGTCCTCTGCCAGACTTTTAAATCTCTTCATTAACTCTCAGACTGACCTGGGAGCCCTCCTCTACCTGAATCCAGTGCTCAACTGTGCCCCGGCAACAAGTCAAGTCACCTGGGTTGAGGTCTTCCTGGTAGAACCAAGGGAGATTACACCATCTAAATCCCGGTGCAGTTAACAGCCTGGCCTATAGTCCTGGGACATGTATCTTCTTCTCTGCCTTAAATCTGATATAAGAGGTCAATGACTATTTGAAAATAAAACTAAAATGAATGTCTATAATGAAACTTGACTCAAGTCCTTGGAGAGAAATTGAGTTTGGTTCCAAGGACTGTCTGTGCTCCTTTATGGGAATCTAAGGGTAGGAGTCTTACAGATCTGGGTCAGTTAACGTGCACAGAACGTTGTGGCGTATTTACTCCCTTTGTTACCTAACCCTGGAACTTTTAGGCTTTCAAAGAAAGTCACCACTGTAGTACTAGCCCATCCCTGGGGCATGATGGTTCTCTTGCTCCTGCAGGCTTAGTCCTGCAGTCTAGGAAGCCATGCAGAGAAGGTGGGAGGGTCCCTTCTTTCCATTGTTCATGGCACCTGAGGGATTCTTCACTTTGAGAGCAGCTTCCATTCCCTTAGAACTCATGGGACCAGGACTAATGCAGAGAAGAGTAGTGAGAAAATGTTTGTGGTCATTTTCTTGATTCCAGGATCTTCCAAAGATCATGCAATCAGTCTTTTAGAAAATAGAATAATTTTAATAAAAATGTTCCTTGATTTTAAATGTTTACAAGATAGGACTCAAAATTCCACTTCATCTGGCCTGGCATCATCCTTGCAGGCTTTGGATGTCTCCCAGGTGTGGGCCTGGGGGGCAGTGAGAACTAATTATTTCTTTGTTGCTTAACAAAAGGCAGTGCTGTTTGGCACTTTATACAGACTGGCTTATCTCCAGCAACCACTGCAGAAGACAGTGTTATCACCATTTTATAGAGAAAACTGAGACTTAGAGAGGTAAAGTAATTTGCCCAAAGTTACATAGCTAGGAAGCCTCAGCACAAGAATTCAAATCCTGGCCATCTGATTCCAGAGCCTGGGCTGTTGGTCAGCACAGCAGCATTCCCTGCCTGACTGTCACTGGTTGGGGGAAGGGGCGGTGATGCTTTTAGAAACACAGGCTTCTGGGCTCCACCTCAGATCTTCTGAAACAGAATTTCCACCATTAATGGTAAAATAGAAAGAGCATGATCTGCGTTCACATCCCTGTTCCACTGGGTGCTGTGTGGTATTAGCCAAGTTACTTACCCTTTCAGCCTTGGCCCCCTCATCTGACTTGATGAAGAAATGGACTTGGGGTCAGGCTGCCTGGCTCTGAATCCCGGCTCTGCCACTTATTAACTAGTGACTTTACTTAACTTCTCTGTGCCTGAGCTTCTCATTTCTAAGATGAGGACAGAAATAGTTTCTGCCTTGTCATGAAGATTAAATGAGTTAATTTTTGCAAAGTGCTTAGAAGACTGCCTAACAAAGAATAAGCACTATATAGATATTTGTTTGTTTTTGAGTCAGAGTCTTACTCTGTCACCCAGACTGGAGTGCAGTGGCGCCATCTCGGCTCACTGCAAGCTCCGCCCCCCTGGGTTCACGCCATTCTCCTGCCTCAGCGTAGCTGGGACTACAGGCGCCCGCCACCATGCCTGGCTAATTTTTTGTATTTTTAGTAGAGACGGGGTTTCACCGTGTTAGCCAGGTTGGTCTTGATCTCCTGACCTTGTGATCTGCCCACCTCTGCCTCCCAAAGTGCTGGGATTACAGGCATGAGCCACTGCACCCGGCCAGATATTTGTTAAATTTAAAAAAATTTTTAATTAGGAATTTAGGAAAAACATCACCTTTTGTGACTGGGCTCTGAGGAGTGAAGCAATGGACTGCCTACTAGGTCTACCCATATAATCACTGTTTCTAAAGCACATATATATATATATATATATATTTTTTTTTTTTTTGAGATGGGGTCTCGCTCTGTCACCCAGGCTGGAGTGCAGTGGCATGATCTCGGTTCACTGCAACCTCCACCTCCCAGGTTCAAGTGATTCTCCTGCCTCAGCCTCCTGAGTAGCTGGGATTGCAGGTGCCTGCCACCACGCCTAGCTAACTTTTGTGTTTCTAATACAGATAGGGTTTCACCATGTTGGCCAGGCTGGTCTTGAACTCCTGGCCTCAAGTGATCCTCCTGCCTCGCCCTCCCAAAGTGTTGAGATTACAGGTGTAAGCCACCACACCCGGCCTCTAAAGCATAGATTCTTAAAAAGAAAAAAAAAAAAATTAAGTCCTCTATTCTATAAAAACTGCAAATGTCTAACCACATTTAAAGAGATTGTCAAACTGAAGAGTTTGCCAATTATCCATGGAGATGCCCATCTCTGCAGTACCACGGCGTGGGCAGGCATTAGCTGGTCAGGACTTACGAGATGGACTGTTGACACTCCATCAGTGAGAACACACCTGCTCTACAAAATCTTAAACTTATTGAGATACCAGGCAGCTTTCCAATTCCCTGCAAACATGGGGGAATGCCCTGATCAATCCTAAAGGTGTGACATACTCTACTTTCTAGGGCAGTTATTTCTTATTATATATTAACTAGTGGCTATTATATTTGCTTCTGCCCACAGGTAGAGAAGATGCTAAATAATTGTGCCAACACAGGTGTTTATAGTCTGTGTGACAGTTACTTTTCTTATAGCATGTACTCAATTAATACTTGTTATATGAATGAAGAACGACTTGCCTCAGTTGGCATTCTGGGGTGTCTACCTGGGTGCAGCATTTCAGGGCTGGGTTTCCCTGAGCAGAGTTGTCTTTGTAGCAGGTGGATGGACTCTGTTCTCAGACAGGCTTATAAAGAGCACTACCAGCCCTATTAGCCCCACTCACCCTCTGCAGTTGTTATAAGGGTTCAGGTGCTTTCTGTTGGAATGAGGAGAACAGAACAGTCATAGACTATTTAAAAATATGTATTTACTAAAATGTATTTGTTTTTAATTCCCAAAGCTTACAACCATCTTTTCATCTAGTCTGTGAGGTATTTAGTATACAGCAGTGATTTTTCTCTTTCCTTTTTTATAAAGTGAAGAGGTTCAACTATCCAGAGAGTCCCATCTAACTTAAAAAATGTAATGGCTTTGGTTGGATTGCATCTTCAGTCAGTACCTGCCATGGCTTAATCAATATTTTAAGTGAATGAATCATGTTTCCCCACCAGATCATTACGAGTAAGCAGTAAGTAATAAATAGAGAACATTAAGTATTGAACATTATTAGATGCAGTTTTTTGTTTTGCATAGAGGAAAGATGAGGATAAAGAAGGGCATTAAGGCCATGAAGAGCTTCCCAGACATGCACGGCCATCAGATGATCTTCTTCCTGCAGGCAGTGCCTTCTGGTGGAAGGAGCTCAGTCTATCAGAGAATAAACCAGGAGCCTGAGAGCAGTCCTGTGTCTCTGTCTTTAATCAGCTGTCACTTATTCTCCCCCAAAGAAAGGGAAGTAGGTCTCAGCAGTTGCTGCCATCCATCATGAATAAAATGAAATCATTTCATTAAATTTTGTTTGTATGAATGTGCAAAATTGCCAACTAGGAGTTCAATGGGAAAAATAAAGTTTGTCAACATGATCCATAGAAGAGATGATCTTCATGTGTTCCAAAGGCAGAAAGGTGAGAAAAAAGATCTTGCTTGGTCTCTGTCCCTCAAAGACAGAAGAGGTCAGGAAGTCCAATGGGCGATGCTCCTGTAGATAAGGCACAAAGCAGGAGAGCTGAGGGTGTCCAGGTTCCATGCCCTGCATCACCAAGAACCCTTCTCCCTGGCTTGAAATCTTTGGAAATTCCTGGTTTGAGTCACAGAAATGCATTGTCATGGGCTCAGTAACCCTGCCACCCCTGTTCTCTCCATTCTCCCTTTGGTCACAGCAGCCATCTTAAGACACAAGACCAGGCCTGGGCCCTGTGCAGGCTGGCTGAGAAGGAAGGTTGATACAATGGCCTCCAAACTCCAGGGAGCAAGTGCTGGCTTCAGCTCAAAGTTTCCAGGGGCTGGGAATAAGGTGGAGGAATAGCCATCAGAAGAAAGGGCAGTTGGAAGTATAGTGTATGGAAGAGGGGTCCCTGTGTCCCTCCAGCCTCAGTGCCTGCACATTCCTCACCAGCTAAGCTGTGCTGAGAAGTGGGTAAGCTAGGTAGTAGCCCACAGCAGAGCCCAGGACCACACCAAGGAAAATCCAGGTGTTGTAGGACATTACGGCCAGCATGATGAAGTAGCCGATGACCACCTGGATGACATGGATTAGAGACTGGCCAAAGTGACACAAATACCACCTAGATAAAAAGGAGAAGCAAGTTAATCCTGGTAATGAGCTGGTAATCAGGAAGCTGGGAGTTGATATCAGGGAGTAGAAAGCTGTTGAGTTATGTGACCTGATTATTTATAACATATGCTTAACCCAGGAGAGATTTCTTTCTGCCCCCCCACCCCCACCCCCAGAAAAAACTCAAGAGATTTCTTTTTAAAGAGACATATCTTCACTACATTTGGTGCCGAGCTTCCTGGCATCCTAGACAAAGGGGAAAATGAAGGTATCTATAATC